CACAATTTTATTTGCCCAGATAAGCATAGTCATATTTAGTGTCATTTATCAATGCATGCACAATTACATACACTTATTTTACTCATGAGTGCAGTTAATTGCCCACATACAAGCAATGCAGGGCAATACTGGCCCATCGAGATACCGGGAAAATTCCTGGTGGGCTGGTGCACGGCCAGCTAGTGCCCACTGGCCCAGGGAGGAGCATGCCCCAATCGCAGGGTGACCGACAGGAGGGGAAGCGATCCCCTCCTGCCAGTAATTTCATGTAGTGTGGCCGAGCTGCGGACCACAGTAGAGGAGCTTCTGTTCCACTGCCTGGCCTGACAGGAACTGCTTTCTGTCAGACCCTGGAGAGGAACAGAAGCTCCTCTACAGGAGTTCGTGTCCCGACCATGCTACAAGAAGGTACAGTAGAGGAGGGGGAGAAACATGGGGGGGGAATGAGACACATTGAGGGGCTGAGGGATGAGACAAATGGAGGGGCTGAGGGTGGAAATTAGATTCACAGAGAACTAGCTGGGGAAAATAGGATACATGGAGACACTGGGAAGAAAAAAAAACATACAGTGACTAGGGTAGACACACAAAGGGGCTGGGAAAGGGGAGAAAGACACACACAAAAGGGGCTTGGAGGAGAAAGACACACAAAAGGGGCTGGTGGAAAGAGACAAACAGAGGGACTGGAGAAGGTGAAAAAGAGACGCCCAAAGGTGCTTGGAGGAAGTAAAAGATACACAAAGGGGGGTTGTAAGAGATACACAAGAGGGGCGTAAGACACACAAAGGGGGGTTGTAAGAGATACACAAGAGGGCTGAATGCGCGCGGCTCCTGCCGCACATGCGCATTCAGCCGATGATGTCGCTAGGAAGGAGAGGAGGAGGAAATATCCCTGCCCGGCCCTGGAGAAAGGTAAGTGTTTAACCCCTTCCTCTCCCCAGAGCCCGGCGGGAGGGGGCACCCTCAGGGCACTATAGTGGTCCTTTAATGAAGACTTCAAAACACTGAAGTGGTCATGGTGCGTGGAGTAACCCATTAACTTATCTTCACGTAAGACACACAAAGGGGATAAATGGGAGTTAAGATACACTAAAGCGGGTAAGACAATCAAGAGAGAGGGGATTAGACATCTTATTAAAAGGACACTATAGTTACCAGAACCACTACAGCTTAATGTAGTGGTTCTGGTGTCTATAGCCTGTCCCTGCAGGCTGAGCATTGTAAATGCTGTCTTATCAGAGACACTAGTAACACCTCTAGTACTAGTCACTCAGACAACCACTAGAAGTGTTTCCTAGTCCATTGCTGAGCAGTGTGCAACACCTCCGTATAGAGATGCATTGATTCAGTGGATCTCTATGAGAAGATGCTGAATAGCACAGTATGCACAATAGCCTCCAAATACTTTCTTATGGGAAAGCAGGATTGGCTGAGATCAACAAGTTTGATGATCTCAAACAAAGTGAAGAGCACACTCATAGGACTTCAAAATAAATAAGATAACATTTTTTACAGTCGTGCAAAAGCATACATTTACCATTTCAGTCCCATTTAATTTTTTTCTTAATATGTCAAGGTAGTTTGAATTAAATATTGATTATATGCAAATGCACATTTGCTTAAAATAAATCTGCTCTTTTGTTTATTTTGAAGCCCTAAGTGTTTTCTTTCACGTTGGAGTAATAGTTTTCAATTTTAAGTTATCTTTTTTGCCTTTATAGCTGGTGTGACACATTATTGGCTGGTATGGAATTTTTTTTCCATGGCTGCTTTTTGTTCCCAGTCCAGTACTGACACAATGTCATTTAACTATGTGTTCAGCGTAGCTCCCAAATTTGGTATCCTAAATAGGGCAATCCCACATAAGGGTACCAAATCAAGTAAACTATCGACTAAACAGGCCCTAATTTGGTGTTCTTAAAGTGACACTATAGGCACCTAGATCACTTCATCTCATTGAAGTGTTCTGGGTGCAGAGCCCCTATCAGTTTAACACTGCATTGTAAAATATTGCAGTTTTGAGAAACTAAAATAATTACATTGAGAGTTATTCGGAAAATATAGATTCAGATGAAAAGTTTAATTTTTGAAATTCAGACACCTATTGTTCCCTATGTGATAAATGAAGATTGCTGTTACAACATTATAAAGTACCAATTTAAGGAGTTATCTGTGTGGCGGAACCAGCCTCACCACTGGGCATTGGAGAAGACTGATTGCCAGCCTCCTGCCCTGTGACTATGGCCCCATGTTGAAATGCTTGATTTTCCCCTGCAAAGACCCGAAAGCCGGGTCATTCGGTACTTTCCCTATGTGAGCAGTGTTACCCCAGATAGCTATGCCATGGAGCCCATTCGTATAACGAAAGACTATGTGAAAGACTTTGGCTCCATGGCAATTGAACTGTATGTATGTTATCTGAGCGCCATTCAGTAATAATGTGCACTCAGATCTAAGCTATCTGGGGATATGAATGTACCTGTTTTATGCAATAGCTGCACAGTTATATATTTTTATGTATTTTATTGTATTTTGCTACCATGTGGCTAATGGAGTTTTGCCTCTGTCCTTGCAGATAATTGGATTACTTCCCAATTATCTCCAGGATAGAAGACTCTGTGGAACTGGTTTTGGGCAGAAAAGCCATGCTTCATTTGGTCACAAAGGACGTCGATCTAACTTTTGACCCACTGGACCAATTTGTATGATTTTGACGTATGTTGGTATTTGGAGTATGCTGATTCTGAAAATGTATGTGAATGTGATGCATACTTTTAAAGTTATGAATATTGTGTAAAACTGTGTATTTTCCTGCCTGTGATAATTACATTAACCCATTGTGTAAGGTAATTGTATCACAGGCAGAGGGGAGGATTTTGTGTGGGAGTGTCTGAGTGTATTGTACGTGTTTATTGGTTGTTTTACAAAACCCTGTGGATGGTACTAATGTGTAAGAATGTGTATATAAGAACAATAAACCCACAGCTCTGTCAGTTCTACTTCACCCTCAATTTGGAGTGCCGTCTCTTATTGGGGGAATCTGCTACAAGGGATTGCTATGCTCTGCATACTCTCTTGCTATATTCACTGCTAAGCTCTTGTAAGAGCTTGTTCCTGCTTCACTCTGAAGGAAGAGAGGTTCGGCCTGCGGTGGTTGTGGTGTCGGCTAGAGTGCTTGGAGTCCTCAAGAAGCACTGGGAGCACCCTTCAACGGAGGTACCCAGTCGGGGTGCCCGTCGATCCGTTACAATCTGTTAAACTGGTGAAAAAAAAAATCAAAAAATGTTAGTGTCAAATTTGATCTTTCAGCTATTTAGTAGATAACTCCTTAATTTGCTATCCTTATATGGGATTGCCATAAGAATATCAAGGATCAATGTTGACTCACACTGATAAGTTTCTCCATCTACAGAATGATTGTACAAGCTGCTTATATTTTATGTTCATAATGCAGAATTTCTTCTTCAAGTGTTACTCCAAGAAAAAAAAAGTGTTTTCACAAGACATGTTATATCCAAAGCAACCCCTTCTACAAAGGTCTTCTCAGTCCCTCCCCCCACCAAAAAAACAACCTAAAATTCACCTCCTTTCCAGCACAGAGGCCAATTCTTCCTGTGGCCCAGTCCTCCTCAGCGATTGCTGGAAGGTGATGTCAGGGAGGACCGGCTGAGGGAGAATATATGGGGTGTCAGGGGGAGATGTGCCGCTACTAGTTGTCTGGCATCAGCATGTCGGGGCTCTGTGCCGGCTAATAAACGCCTAATGTTAAAGGTGGGAGTTACATATCTGGCAGTAGAAGTGTTAAAGGACCACGATAGGCACCCAGACCACTTCAGCTTAATGAAATGGTCTGGGTGCAAGGTCCAGCTAGGTTTAACCCTTTTTGCTTTAAACATAGCAGTTTCAGATAAACTGCTATGTTTACACTGAGGGTTAATCCAGCCTCTAAAGCCTCTAGTGGCTGTCTCATTGACAGCCACTAGAGGCGCTTGCGTGCTTCTCACTGTGAAAATCACAGTGAGAAGATGCCAGTGTCCATAGGAAAGCATTATGAATGCTTTCCTATGAGACCGGCTGAATGAGCGCGGCTCCTGCCGCACATGCGCATTCAGCCGATGATGTCGCTAGGAAGAAGGAGAGGAGGAGGAAATCTCCCTGCCCGGCCCTGGAGAAAGGTAAGTGTTTAACCCCTTCCTCTCCCCAGAGCCCGGCGGGAGGGGGCACCCTCAGGGCACTATAGTGGTCCTTTAATGAAGACTTCAAAACACTGAAGTGGTCATGGTGCGTGGAGTAACCCATTAACTCATCTTCACGTATAAACACACAGATCGGTAAGGTTGATTTAATGATGAAGAGGGTGACTGAATAGAGCAGATTTCCTTTTCTCTGGTCTCCATGTAGATTATGCATATGAAAAGGTTGCAACATTTAGACAATGCTTGCATTCGCCAGAGAAAGAACAGGGTGTGCCCACTCCCATGCATATTCCATGATACCCCGTTGAAAGATGGATACGGGACTCGGGACAAGACAATCCTTTCTAAGCTGACTGAAACGGCAAAACCTTCTCACCAACACTTCGGCGATCCAAACAGCTGAACACATATACTTCAAATATGCTGGCAGCTGCAAACATTCCATGGAACACTTTCTAAACCCGAAACGAAAAAAACAAACCACAGTCTAGTCTGTCGCTGGAATCTATTGTGTCCAACTACCAACATCACCGTTGGCCAATTTACAGCATTGTTGTCACAGTGAGCGTTCACAATGTTTTACTCTACGGGCCATTTAAATATTCTCAAAGAGGGCATCAGAAGTAAGAATCAGAAGAAATATAATAATAATTGAAGATTATATTAGCTTTAGTGTACTAATAATCTTAATTTTAGTAATGACAGGAGGCGAGTATTTGCATATCTTTCTTTACTGAAAACTCCAGCAGCATAGAAACAGTAACAACCAATCAGAGAAAAGATATGGTGCCCATATAAGGCCCTGTCTATGACATCACTTCCTCTTTCTTTGAAGCGAATGATAAACAACAACAACATAAACTTAGTCCGTTAACATTTCAACAAACATAGCGGAGAAAAACCAACTCCGGCGATTCCATGGTCAAACGGCATGGAAGGTGAAACTTTGTCCCGTAGAGAAGACATTCATGCTGAAAGAAAAAGAAAAAAGTGAAAGGTTTCTGAAGTGGCAACGTGCCCACATATTATAAATATTACAAAAACTGTAACATCTCCTAGAGTATATAGTACTGTGAAAAAACTGTCAATACTCAAATAACTAAACCTGCAAGCTACGCCATGCGATAAGAAGAAAACATCATATAGTGCAAAGAATATGACCAAAATACAGCTACGGTACTGAACATGTGTCCTCCTAAGAGGTAGTACAATATAAACATATAAGTCTTCCTGAACACCGAACACAATCTGTATAGTACAAACTCACCTGGGCGGGATCCAACGGGTGGGAAATACTCGCCTCCTGTCATTACTAAAATTAAGATTATTAGTACACTAAAGCTAATATAATCTTCAATTTTACTACATGACAGGAGGCTTCATATTTGCATTTTTAAAGCTTAGCTCTGACCAGTGTGAAGGAAGCGTGAGAGGAGTGACGGAAGTAGAACGTCCTAAACGTACTCTCCCGTGTCCAATCCGCACAACGCATGATGTCGGTTAGGGAGGCGCCTGCCAAGAAGGCTTGGGATGCTGCCGCCCCTCTGACCGAATGCGCTCCGAAACCGGAGTCGACTCCTGCCAACCTTAAAAGCCAGCGAACCCATCTGGCCAAGGTTATAGTAGACACCGGTCCGTGAGGCCTTACGTAAGAAATCAGTAGCTGACCCGTCGGGGAACGCCGAAGGTTGGCCGTGATTTCCGTATACCTCAACAGTGTCTTGACCACACATAGCTTGGGGTCGGAATCAAAATACGGATAAGTCACCGAGGACGAATCCGATTTAGTCCGTCTTGATATGGAAAAGGCAACTCCCTCCGGGGTGAGGGAGAAACCGTCCACGTCAAACGCCCTAATGTCAGACACCCGTCGGAAAGAGACGAGGCATAGCAAAAGGGCCAGTTTAGCTGAGAGCTGTTTCAGTGATAGAAACGGGTTGTCCGGCCAGCCCCGGAGGAAATCCAGCACCCCATTAACTTGCCAGAGGCTGGAATACTTGGGCGCTGGGGGCCTCGTAAGTCTGGCGCCCCGTAGTAGACGGCATACCAGCGGGTCTTGACCCACTGGCCTGCCCTGTACTGGGACATGCGCCGCTGAAATAGCCGATCTGATCACGTTAAGGGATCTATATGATCGACCCGTCGAGAAAAGATGAGCGAGGTAGTTGAGGATCAGTGGGACAGAGGCAGTAAAGGGATCGGAATCCCTCTCCACGCACCAATCACTCCAGGCTGACCATGCGGAGATGTAACATCTCCTTGTGCCAGGAGCCCATGAGTCCCACAGGAGGTCTTTAGTAGATTGCGATAGGCCGTGGACCGACCAGGAGCCCCTGAAATCGTCCAGGCCACCAGTTCCAGTTGTCCTTCCAGGACGAGGGGATGTAGTTCCCCCCGAGGTCCCGACAGGAGGAGTGGAATGGTCGGAAGCCGAATGGGATGGTCGTGGGACATCTCCAGGAGGTCCGGGAACCACGGTTGACTCTGCCAGAGAGGTGCTATGAGCAGGAGCGATATCCTGTGAGTGCGTGTGTACCGCAGCACTCGTGGAATCATAGAGAATGGAGGGAAGGCGTAGGCCCCGTGAGGGGGCCAGTCCTGAAGAAATGCGTCCGCTGCTTCGGACATCGGGTCCGGGAGCCAGCTGTAGTATTTTTGAAGTTGGTGGTTGGTCCTGGAGGCTAACAAGTCTATTGATAGCGGTCCCTTCCGTCGCCGTAGTGTCCGGAATATTTCCTCGTTGAGTTTCCAATCGCTGGTGTCTCTCCAGTGTCGGGAAAACCAGTCCGCCGTCAGGTTGGAGACTCCTGGGAGGTATTCCGCCTGTATCGTGATGTTCCTCCGTAGGCAGAAACTGTAAATGTCCTTCGTGGCTTCGGTCAGGTCCTTCGACCTCGCCCCGCCTAGGCGGTTGATGTATTGCACCGCCGAGATGTTGTCCATGCGGAGCAGGATACAACAATTCGACCTGTCCTTGGCCAGGCTGCGAATGGCGAAGGAGCCCGCGATCAACTCCAGGCAGTTGATGTGTAGGTTGGTCTCCTCTCCCTGCCATGGGCCCCCCGTGGAGGCATCTGAGCAGTGGGCACCCCATCCCCACAAACTGGCGTCCGATTCTACGATGAAGTCCGGGGAAGGGCCGAAGATCGCCTTGCCATTCCAGGCTTGTATGTGAAGTAACCACCATCGCAGTTCCGACCTCACCTCCGGAGTGAGTGGGATCCAGTGGTCGTAGGAATGACCGGCACGCAGATATCCCGCTTTCAGCCGTTGCATGGCCCTGTAGTGTAGAGGGCCCGGGAATATCGCTTGTATGGACGAGGACAGGAGTCCCACAATCCGAGCGAGCATCCTGAGCGGTATCGTGTCCATCTGTAAAGTCCGCCTGATTTCCTTCCTTATTGAGGCAATCTTTTTTGAAGGGAGGCTGAGCACGCATTCCTTCGAGTCGATGTCGAAGCCCAGGAATTGTACTGACTGGGATGGGGAGAGAGACGATTTCTGTCTGTTCACTACGAACCCCAGAGATTCTAGCAAGTGAGCTACAAATTTCGTCTGCGATCGTAGTCTGGAGACGGATTCGCAGAAAATCAGCAAATCGTCCAGATATACGAGACACCGTATGCCCCTTGTACGGAGGTGAGCCATCACTGGTCTCAGCAACTTCGTGAAACACCACGGGGCCGAGCTGAGACCGAATGGCAGGCACGTAAACTGGCACACCCGCCCTCTCCAACGGAAACGTAAGAACTGACGGTAGTGCCTGTCCACCGGAACCGTGAGGTACGCGTCCTTGAGGTCCAGGCGCGTAAACCAGTCGTTCTTGACGAGGAGGTCTTGTAGAAGATGGATTCCTTCCATCTGGAAGTGTCTGTAGATTACGAAAGAGTTTAGTTGCCGGAGGTTGATAACCGGCCGGTACTCGCCCGTCTTTTTCTTGACCAAGAAGATGTTGCTCATGAAGCCTCCCCTGTCCGGTGCGTATTGAATCGCGCCCTTTTCGAAGAGTGCGTGGACCTCTTCGTCCACCAGGCGGTTTTGTTCTGACGACATGTGGATCGGGGGAGGGGGGGCGGTTTGGACGGGTTGCGCGGCAAAGTCTATTACGAAGCCGCGTACCGTCTGTAGGACCCAGGCGTCCCTGGTAATCAGCTCCCAGTTCTGGAAGAAAAAAGATAGGTTGCCAGCAATAAACTTTGGTGCATCGGTGTGTATAGAGGGACTCACCATTGTTAAAGCGGCCGCGTCCACGGCCTCTGACACCTCTGGTCCTCCCAGTTCCTCGGAAAGTTGAGGGTCTTTGTGATGAAGAGGGGAAGAAATTTGAGGCTTGCGGGTAAGATCTGGAACCTGAGGCCCAAAATCGGCTGGTGGCACGGCTCCGTTGCCGACCAGCCCTTCCAAAAACACCTCTAGTAGATGGGGTGTGGAACACCTGTTTGAGAGAGGTTTGGGCCTTGTTTAAGGTGGTGAAGAGGTTCACATGACGTTTGAGTTCCATGATGAAGGCATCACCAAACAACAAGCCCTGGGCTTTCGGTCCGAATTCTTTAGCCCCGAGATCTAGAAGCTTGCTGTCGATACGTATCAGAGCCGACCTGCGTCTCTCGACGCAAAGGGCGGCATTGGCGTTGCCCAGCAGGCACACCGCGCGTTGAGCCCATTCTCGTATGATGTGTGGGTCTAGTTGGGAGTCTTGGCTGAGGGCTAGGTCAGCAAAGTATAGCATCTTGGCGATGGGACCGAGCAAATCCAGCACCTTGTCCTGTGCCGCCTTCATGCCTTTCTCCACCCCTTTGCGCGGGTCCCTGCCCGTGCGTGACATGAAGACCACCATCGTGTCATCGAATTCGGGCGTCAGTGCCACTTTATCGGGAATTAGCGGCCTGGGGCATTCGGCCCTGAGGCGTGCCCGTACCTCCTTTTCCAGCGGTTTGCGCAGCCAGTAGTGTATAAACTTCGTCAAATGATCCGGCATTGTCCACTCTGAGGACCGTGGGTGCCGGATGGTGCGTGGGTCGAACAGTAGTGTCCCCTGGTCGTCCAGGAAAGCACCGTCTTCGGCCTGTGCGGTGGGGTGGTCCCCGCCGGCCATGTCCCGGCCGTCTACGAAGGTCTCTTTGACGTATTTCGATGAGGTGGGTGGTAGGTCTTGCCACTCCTCGTCGTCCGAATGTGAGCCGTCTCCATGCCACTCGTCCACTACGTCTAAGGCGTGTGGGACGTGGGTGTCCTCCTCGTCCGAGGATTGAGGTGGGAAAGGGGTGGGCTGGCGGTCCACCTTCTTAACGCGTTTGATGGGTAGCTTGCCCTTAGTCTTGGTTGAGGGTGGACTTGAAGTCTTTCTTTGTCTCTTGGCTTTGGACACCTCCGAGTCCGAGGCTTCCATGCACTCTGGTGGGCTTGTGGCTTCCCGGCTGGGGGGTAGTGCCCTCAAGAGGGCCTTTTCCACAGAAGCCGCCACGGCGGCATTGATCATGGCTTGGAAGTCTTGGCTGGCTTGGGTATCTTCCATGATCTGTGGTGTAATTCGACCTATCGGGCGAAAACAAGGTTCAGTGGACAGTTCGTGGGGGAGTCACATGCATATAATGATCGACCCTTATCACGACCGGGATGTCCAGTCGGTACAGGGTATATATAAGGAAGGCTGAGTATGCACGTAAATAATAAAATTCAGGCTATGCGTGAATTTGCGTGTTAGGTGTAGGCTCTTGTGCATAATCTCGGGGTCACCCCGGGTGGTGTGCCGTGGTAACCAGAGGACACCCACATCAAACTGAAATGGGCTGTGGCGCCCTAGCATGCGTGTCTGGGGGGGGTCACCCCCGGTGGTGTGCCATGAAAAAATACCCAGAGGACACCCACATCAGCGTGCACCCTAGGGTGCAGTAGTATAATATGACCCTGTATAGGGTAACAGGTATGATCTTCCCTTTGAAGGGTACAGTGGTGCCAAGTCCCCTGAGGGGTGGTTGCAATATATGTATATATTTCTGCAGGGGTCCTTTAAATAGTGTGCTCAGTTAACACTGGTATTACAGCCTTATAACCTTACAGCTTGTGCATGCTTTATTCGCCCCTCACATTGATTAGGGAGTTCTGTGAGGGTGTTGTTAAACAAAAATTCCTAGTGTAGGGATTGAGGGTTGGGGGGGGGAGCAACAAAATGCCCTAAAGGCACTCCCCCGCGTTCGTTGCGGCGATCGGGTGATTCCCGAGCCGCCGTGTGTGAAGGCAGGGCGGCCGTCGCGGGTCTCGCGAGCCGCGAGATCCAAGATGGCCGCCGGCCGCGTGTGTAAGTACTACCCGCGGCCGCGAGCGGGCTGGAAATCCGCGGCAAAAAGAAAAGTTTAACCCCGGCTACCCTCCACCCGTCCCACCCAGCCCCCTGTAAGATAGAGAGAGCCGGACCGCGCAGCGAGCGCGGCACAGACAGCCGTGACGCCCGCGGCCCGCCGGTAAAACAAGCACAATAATACAAGGTTATAATATAGTGCAATGAAAACAGGGCAACTGCATAAGGAAAAAGTAAAGGGACAGGAATAGGTAGACAGGGTGTGAATAAAATACAATAGAATATGGCAATAAAGGATAAGACATGTACAGCAAACAGAGAGGTAACAAATACTCTGACCTGTAGATAGCTGGAGCAGCAAAGAAAGAGGAAGTGATGTCATAGACAGGGCCTTATATGGGCACCATATCTTTTCTCTGATTGGTTGTTACTGTTTCTATGCTGCTGGAGTTTTCAGTAAAGAAAGATATGCAAATATGAAGCCTCCTGTCATGTAGTAAAATTCAACTTACACTGTGTGTTGTATTAATGATGTTGCTTGTTCAGTTCCAACATTCCGTGTCCATCTTTCTGTCTCCTTTATAAATAAATAAAACGGTAAATGGTGGGAGAGATGTTGTTTGTTCAAATGCTGACAAATGTCACTGCCAGACATTCACGATTTTTATAACAGTGGCTCTGTCACAGTAAATTTTTTATTTATCTCCCATCCTCACAGGTTATCCCCTAACTTACCCATATTAATATATTTTTCTTTTAAAACAACCCCACTTTACCTCAAATCACAGCGCTGCCATATTCTAATAGCTGGCAATGACTTAAATGGACAATATAGTCACCAAAACAACTACAGCTTATTGTATTCTGGTGAGTATAATCATTCCCTTGAGGCTTTTTGCTGTAAACACGGTCTTTTAAGAGAAAATGCAGTGTTTACATTATAGCCTAGGGATAACGCCACTGGCCAATTCTCCGATGACTACTGGAGGTGCTTCCTATGGCAGTGTTGTACAGTGTGAATGCCATTCAGTGCCTCTACCCTCTGCATGGAGACACTGAACTTTCATCATAGAAATGCATTGATTCAATGTATCACTATGAGGAGATGCTGATTGGCCAGAGCTGTGTTTGACTTGTGCTGGCTCTGCCCCGATCTGCGTCCTTGACAGTCTCAGCCAATCCTATGGGAAAGCATTGTGATTGGCTCAGTGAATCACTTCTATGATGTCAGCAAGGAGTAAGTTTGAGGTGACAGAACCAGTTTACTATATAAAAAGTCCAGCATGTCAAAACCAGATTATTTACCTCCAAAAATAGCAATGAAGACATTTCATTTTTTACAGTCAGTACATTTATTGTGGCTAACACCCAGAATTTTTTAGGAGCCACCTGATTTTATTACAAACGAAAGATGTCGTTACAGAAATTGTACAGAATTGTTAAGTTTTCACAACTGTGAACAAATTAGCTTCATGTTAAAATACTCATATAAACCCACATACCAACTTCACATCAGTGAAATAGCTCTGGTTTAATATCTGAGTTATTAAAAATACGTGAATACGTCAATAATTCAGTATAAATGTGAAATTTTAGGTCACTATAGACAAATTTGAAAATGTCTTCTACTTATCTGTTTTCAGTACAGCTATATTGGTCTACAGTTTTTAATGCACTCTAAATTCCTGACAAGTGACACTTGACAGAATTAATCACTGTGAAGTGTAGATATTTGGGAATTCAAAGTGAATGCCACAACAATTGTGATATCAATATGTATGATATATCAAAACAATGGTCCCTCATTTCAGCAACGATGAGACTACATGCATATTACATATAATATTATTTTTGTGCTTCAACTTCTTTAATTAGAAATTAGAGTTTAAAAGTAAAGTTTAATTATAGATGCTTAAATGGACACCATAGATACCCAAACCACTTCAGCTTATTTAAGTGGTCTGGGTGCAGTGCCCCTGTTATTGGGAAACTGCAGTAATTACATTGCTAGGTTAACCCCACCTGTAGTGGCAGTCTACTCATTAGACGAGCTACCGGGTCGTTAGGCGAATTTTGGTCGCCTGACGCTGGAAGTCCTCACGCTATGCATGATGACATCCAGCATCAGCTAAAACCCCATAGGAAAGCATTGATTCAAAGCTTTCTTATGGGGTAGTCCTAATGCGACCGGGGCGCTCGAAGCGCATGCTCATTAGGTCCCCGATGTCGGCCGTCTTAGCGGAGGTGGGGCCTGACTCAGCGCCGCTGAATTCAGGTAAGTGAATTAAGGGTTTTTAACCCTTTCTGCACTGCAGAGAGAGAGGGGGAAGGATGGGAGCCTATAGTATTTCTAGCCTTTAGTTCCCCTTTAAGAATAGTTTTGGCTTATATAATAAGAAAAGCCGGTTACTGATTTAAATGTCAGTGGGTCGTATAAAAAAGGCTCCTTACTGCCAGTTGCAACTGTATGACACAGTTCACAAACATCACTTTTTACATCTATAGGTACAAAGATAATACATATTTATAAATAATTAATATAGATTGTGATGGAACGCCTGGCACCCCGACTGGGTGCCTCCACCAATCGCTGCTTCCTAGTAGCCTGGAGTACTATAAGCACTGCACCAGACACCATAAGCACCGGTGCCCCTTAGCCGCCGCAGCTTGGCTGGGGTCTCGCTGTCCTCCACCCACCCTGGACCCAAGCCCAGGATCCAGCTTCCAGTGGGTGGACCTCTCCTACATCTTACAAGAGCTAGTGATTATAGCCAGTATAGCAATCCGAAGCAGGTATAGCAGTTCCCTACAATCATAAGACGAGGCTCTGTGTTGAGGGTGAAGTGAAATCATTTTAATGGGACCACAACTGGCCTTTTCTGACAGTCCCCATGCAAGGTTCACTACTCCCTGGACCTGAGAGTAAACCACAGTAGAAACAAATGCACAATTACATTGGCTTTCAGATCCAGGACACTCCCATATAAACTAGGTAAATCCCTCCCCTGTACCTGTGAGATAATTGAGTCAAGTACTGTATTAACTCAATTATCTCCAGACACAAAAAACAAACATTTTTACAAAACCCACAAAATACCACCAAAACCCCCACTAAAGTTACATCCCCTGATAGCCCCGATATGGGTGACCAACATATCCAAAAATCACCCAGATCGGTTGGGGCGATCAGGAATTTCCTGGAAGTCAAAGTTTGACCGACCGCACGCATGGTCCCATGCCCAAAACAGTTCCATAAAATCGCGGCTAAGTTCCAGGGCATTCGCGGCTAAGTCCCCCTAAAGTCTATTCGCAGTTTTGGTCCATGCGAAGGCCGCCACGGATCTAGCATTCGGTTCTATGCGCACAAATGGAAAGTGCCGAACCAGTGGAACTAAAATATGGGTCTTTACAGTCGCTGACCTGGCCCATAGTCTTTTGGCAGGAGGCTGGCAAGCAGGCCCCTCCAAAAGCCTTTGGCGAGGTTCTGTTCGCCACATAGATGCATCAATATTCTGTGATATTATCTAGATACTGTAAATATTAAACATGGCTATTCCTCTATCTGTCCACCAGGGGGTAGCATTGAACAGTGGAAGAGTTGAAGTATGCCTTGTAATAGATTTCTACATTTTTCCAAATTGACTTTCTCATGCATTTGTGCACACAGAAAGTACTTTGTTAGATAAAAAAAGATATAACTGTTGCAGAAAAAAAGTGCATTCACTAATATTTGCACAATTATTTCCTAAGCCCTAAAAATTTGCCTTTAACGCAGGCTTCCCCAAACTCCGGCCCTACAGATGTTGCTGAACTACAACTCTCATGATTCTCAGCCTATCTATTTCATTCAAAGAATCAAGGGAGTTGTAGTTCAGCAACATCTGGAGGGCCGGAGTTTGGGGAAGCTTGCATTAAAGGCAAGTTTTTAGGGCTTAGGAAATAATTGTGCAAATATTAGTGAATGCTATTTTTTTCTGCAACAGTTACACTGTAGGCCTACTCAGAGTACTTCTGCTCATTGAAGTGGTCTGGGTGCAAATTCCCAGCACCCTTAACCCTAGAGTGGTAATTATTGTAGTTTTTATAAACTGATGCGCATGCACATTAGGTCTCCCCTGCCGGCGGATGTCAGCTGGGGAGGAACGTGGGCGGAGCTGAGCAAGCACAGAGGGACCCAGGTGAGTAACAGAAGAAACCCAGGTGAGTGACAGAAGGGGTTATTAACAAGTTTGTTTTCCTGGCACTATAGTTTCCCTTTAATTGTAAAGGTGGCTTCTTCAGGTTAATGAAGATCAGTCCCATTTTTGCCCAGCTAGATGTTTGAAGCGACACTCCGGGCACCAATACAACTTTGACAACAGTGTGCGCGCTGCATTTAAATCACAACCAGGCTGCAGACAGTCACATACACTACAAACAGATAGTAATGTCTATACTATTTGTCCCCTTGGGTGTTCTCTCCTTCTAAAGCAGGTTGTTATGTACATCAGATCACTGTGGTGATCAAGTGGTGTCGGTGGCTGAGACTGTGTACATTCATTTGATAAGGAAGTCTTTCTCTAGAGTGAGGGGCTCTAGGTGCAGCATACTGTAAAACATTGTCATTTTTGCTACTATAAAAACTAAAGATTTGAGCATGCAAATAAATACATATAATACTGCATATTAAAGAGGCCAAAACCTACAAAGACCATTAAAGTTGTAATGTAGCCTGGAATATCCCTTTAAGGTACTGAGATTTAACTCTATAAATTCTCAACCTAACTTTGTGTGGCTGTGAATAATATAAGTTACAGTCCATGGCAGGGAGTTGATCACTGCGTGACAGTGTGGCCAACAATTAGTTCTGTATGCATCTTACATATGCAGAATACATGCCTCCAACATTTTTTTAAAAAATTGTTAATTCTGGATGGTTTTACAAAAAAATACACCATTCCAAAACATAATTTTTTTTTAACAAGACCCTTAAGCCTACAGTATATTATACAACCACAATTTTTATTGCAATGAAAAAGTAATACATGTTTGATCTTAAATTTTCAAGGTGCTGTGGCATCCACTAAGCTGATGGTATTGGATCCTCACGTGTTTTTTTGTAATTTTATTTATATTACAAACCAACCCTTTGCTTGTTCTGGAAGGGATGCTGGGACCGAGCTACAAAAGGATGCCTGAAATTCGGGTCTTTTTTCCCCAAACCCAGCAGTCAGTCTGAGATGAAACTGGCATTTTGAAGCTCAGAAGGTTTCTCTTTATCCAACAAGTCATTCTGTGACATGCCGCAAAAGCTCTCTCGTCCTGGGGCTCTGCTCACTGGGTCACGAGCAAAACCAAAATGACAGATGCAAGACTTCAGACGTGGACAGGTTTGTTACAGGTACTAGGACTATAGGTGGAGCCGTGGTACCCCAAACGTCTTCAAAAAGTTCCTGCAGTCCTGACATGATTAAAAAAAAAAAATCATATTAGGGTAAATAGTTACAGATTATAAGGCATTTCATGACAATGAATAGCGCACTGTATCTCTCCTAATCTGAATAAAATAAAGTATGTCACCCAAACTTCTTACTTTTTCTACAAGTTTCTGAATTCCAGATAGCTTGAACAGTAACATAGGGTACCCTGAATCAAAAGTAGAGTCACAAATTAAGGTCAAAGGGTCTTTTGTCACTGTCACCCCAGTAAGCAACTGCAGATTATGTGCTGTCAGGAGACATTAGAATTAACAAGCTCCGAATGTAACTTGTGCAGGCTAGGGGAACACAAGATACTTTCTTTGTAATCATAATCTTCTTAGGAAGAGGGTTTTTTTTGCGCTTTATTAATTCAAAGCCTGACGGGGATATTAACAGCTCTTAAAATTGGAAATGCCGGGAGCATTGCAATTTGCTGAATCCCAAAATGTTTCAAATGAGCAGATAAACAGCGGCAATAATTGGCCTTTATTAAATCTAGGAATCGTTCATTACAACTTTCCCGAGTGTACCAGTGTGGGGGGGGGGGGAAAGAGAAATAGGGGGGAACCAGGAGGGAGAGCTCTGCTTAATATGTATACTTACAATGTTTACACATTATACACTCGCGTGTATGCTCTAAAATGTGCTTGCTCGCACATTTTGGGGATTTAGCAAACCAAAAAATGTTGCAAAATTCTACCATGTCGATTAATACTAAGTATCCGAAAAATCTATACTGGGGCAGAGGCAGAATTTATCTTTGTTTGTTTTTTGTATAATATTATTTTATAATTCAATATATGTAAAATGAGACATAAAATGTTTTTTTTTTTTTGTTTTGCCGATATCACTTCACGAATATTTTTATAATAGAATCGGAAATAAAATATAAGAGATATAAACAACCTAGTACTCTTAACACTAAAGGAAAACCCAGGCTTGCACAGTATGCAAATACAAACGGGAATTGCTTGGTATCACAATTCACAAGGAATATAAGATTCATTACCAATGTATTTGGAACACAAGGATCTAGTTCTTAAATTCTCAATCAAGGTTTAAATTCATATCCATATCATCAGACTTAAACGCTGCAGCTTTGCCATTTATTTGTTCAATAACAGAGCTGGCAATGAATATTTAGACCAGCTAGATGATGTGCTATAAATCCCACCATTCTCAGTCTTTGGACGGACAGTTAAGATCGAGTTGTGCTGCTTTACCAGCAGTGCAAAGGTGCCATAGTGTGACCTTTCACACACCTTTCTGCTTTGTATACAGAATGCCAGTAAACCGGATGAGTACAGACTTGGCAATCAAGAATTGGTTGGTTATGCACATCTTCAGGGCAGGCATGGGAGGAAACTCATTAGCAAGCCATGCCTAATTAGTCTTTTTCTTCCACTGGAAATGAGCTACAGTTGAAAGCTTTACTAATCGTATCTCGCCTGTCACAAGTCTCTTTCTGTCTGCAGTAAAACCTCATAGTGCTGGCACCACCACAGTGACTATGAACACAGACAGTCCACACCCAGTCAGGCACCAGATCAGAACAGAGCTTTGCAAGTTGATTTCCAGATTACCTTTCTCCAGCTCTGTATGTCTCACCCCTGATAACCTCTATATCACAGAATATAGACTTGGAGCATGTACCACAAGGGTAACAGACCTCACGACACCACATCATAATGCATAGATATTCACATACAATGTATTTTATTATTTACACTTGCTCTTTCTGGGCCCAACATCCCTGCCTTTATTTGGTCTTCCTGGGTTTTACTTAACTCACTACACTTGCCCTTTGCGTGTCTTTTCCTCACAAGTTAGATCTTTCTACAGGGACATGCATAACTTGACAATTTGTTTACACAAACAAACATTTTAAAACAAATATACAAACTAAGATAAAGCAAGATAAACTTTGAAAATAAACTTGGTCAGATTGCATTGTTGGGCACACCTCTCAACTAGTGGAGTTTTACTTAACCATCACAGTTTCAGATTTGTCCACTAATGACAGAAACAGGGCATCACCATGCAGCAGCAGGAGAGACAAACCCGACACCAGAGTATGTTCTACATGAATTACACTGATCAGACTCCCTCTCTTCTCCCCTTGTCAGAATGTTGCTGTCACAAACTTAACTGTACCTGGTGCCCGCTTCACTCCTTTCCTCAGGCCACATAGGCAGAACACACTGTGTGACCGCGCTCCTGCAGTCCTCAGGCCGCGTGGCCATAAATAGTATACTCACCTTGGGTCCCGTGAACGTCTCCCTCTGCTGGTTCGCGGGCTGAACTGCAGCTCCTTTAATAAAATTATTCCCATGATGTCATGCCCTTAAAGGGACCGTATCATCTAGGCAACCCCATGCTGTCTGGGGTCGCAGAGATGACGTGGACCAATAGAAACTCTTCTGAACCTATTTAAGGCCTGTTCTAAGCCTTACTCATTGTCCTATCGTAGTTTCTGTCCTGATACTCGTTAGTACTATTTATAAGTCTCTCTTGTTGTATTCCTGTTATTGACCACGGCTCGTACTTGACTTGTGATTTCTGGTATCCTGACTCGGCTTCATATTCGACTCGTAGTTTTCTGGTATCCTGACCCGGCTTTGTATATTCTCTGTGTATTTCTGTATTCCTGACCTTGGCTTACCCTGACCTTGTTTCTTGCGGTTTCAATAAGTTAAGTCCGGCCATTCTAAGGCTCGGTAATACGTCTTTCGGATCCCCCTTTTGGGGGTTTTCACGATCCTGTGTGTTGCGGTAAGACTCCCGTGACAGTTGCACAGTTAAGATATCTTCCAACTGCACATGTGTAAATCTGTCAGGCATGCCCAATGCACCTTTCCAGCATTCCTAGGGATAGGCTACTAATTGGTTAGATCTGTGCTCCCATGTGGAGTGGGTGTGGAAAGCATAAGAAAGAAGAAGCATGTAAAAATAAAAAAAATCATATTTACCTGCTTTTTTCAGCCTGCAGACTGAGGTAACAGTCTCATTCAAGCTAAAGCTTTTAAAGAAGACAGTTGTTTGAAAGGGATGCACATTCCTTTAATACTGCTTACGCCATGGGTCGTCAACCTGGTCCCTACCGCCCACTAATGGGCGTTTCAGGATTCCAGGTGAGCGGTAGGGATTTCCTCATTTGGAAAGATTGGGTGGGCTTGTGCGAGCCGGCGGTACCCCTGCGACCGGGTACCTCCATCACCATCTGCGGCCCCGGCCCGGGCGGCAAATCGCTGGGCGCTTTAACAGCGCGACCGGGCCCCCTGTGATTACATCACAGAGCTGGGAGGAAGTGACTGCACGTCACTCCTCCCAGCTAACACTGAGAGCCACCACTGGACCCCAGGGAATGTCACCCTCCTGCACGTTAAAGGTAGGAAACAGGAGGGTGACTGAAATATGTGTGTGTTTGTTTGTGTGTGTGTGTGTCTTTGTATGTATGTTTTGTGTGTGTATGTGTCTTTGTATGTATGTGTGTCTTATGAACGTGTCTTTGTATATATGTCTTGTGTATGTGTGTCTTGTCTTTGTATGTGTGTGTCTTATGTATGATGTGTCTGTATGTATGTGTGTGTGTCTTTGTATGTATGTCTGTCTTATGTGTGCATGTCTGTGTGTGTGTGTGTGTCTGTATGTGTGCCTGTATGTTTGTATGTGTCGTGTGTGTGTGTCTGTATGTGTGCCTGTATGTTTGTATGTATGTGTCGTGTGTGTGGGTGTGTCTGTATGTGTGCCTGTATGTTTGTATGTATGTGTCGTGTGTGTGTGTGTGTCTGTATGTGTGCCTGTATGTTTGTATGTATGTGTCGTGTGTGTGTGTATGTGTGCCTGTATGTGTGTGCCTGTCTGTTTGTATGTATGTGTCTTTGTATGTATGGGTGTCTTGTGTGTGTGTCTGTATGTATGTGTGCCTGTCTGTTATAGTGGGCTATAGTAAGTGGGCTACCTAGCTCAGCCTTCCTACTGGGCATTGCTATAAGTAAGGTTAAAAAAATAAAAAAAGGAAAAAATAAAGGTGGGGAGCGGAATTGAGGAGGGAGAGGAGGGGAGATGAGAAATCATATTATGCGCAAACAGAGAAATCGTCTGAATATCACCGAAAGAGGAGACCTTCGTTTGTTCCTTACGAAAATCGAACCAGATATCAATTATTTAGTCTCACAGCATCAACCTCAAGGATCTCATTAATCACTAGTTAAAGGTAATTTCAATTTACTTTATTGTTTTCTCATTAAACTTTATAAAGTTAAAAGCATTATAAACATGCATTAAGTAGAAATAAAAAGATAAATGTACGTACATTTATTTATTTATTTTAAACTCCCTCCTTTCTAAAAAATATTCTGCACTTGCGTGAAAACTGGTGGGCGGTAAGGAAATGTTTCCATCAAGAAAGATGCATTAGTGGGAGGTAGGAAGAAATAACCCAGAAACGCCATAACCCAGAAACATTCCTACTGTCCTTATTGATTTATTCACATTTTGCCCACTACCTGCATGATCTATTTATTTATTGGTGAGAACTTTAGATATCATCTGAGAATATGTTCCATAGTTGTTTTGAGTTTCTGATTCCACCTTAGAGATGTAACATTTTATGAAGTGTTTTAGTGGTGTTTAAGAGTTTTATGTAACTATCTTAGGATACAATTAAGCATTTCCCACATTTACAATGTATGCCTTACCTGCGTGCAGACCTTGTGCCTCCACATCTTCACCTTTGTAGAACGTCCTGCAGCAGAGAGGTGTGAGGGAAGCCTCGATGGGAAGATCTGCTATTGCTTTGCTAAGTACAGTGCGTAGGATATCACAAGCAGGGGACCAGTCCTGATAAGAGGCCCCAGGTGTAGGCACACATAGAGAAACTGTGAACGAGGCACTGGACATACAGCTAGACACAACGCCATACAGCTTGGCTTGGAAGCTTGCACTTTGCTCGGCCACGGAGATGCATCTTCTACTGAAAGGATCGCTTACTGCAGCCAACACGTGCCATTCCACAGCAGCCCCACGGGGAAGTTTCGGCACTACAATAACGGACAGGCACGAGACACAATCCTGTAGACAAAGCATAGTCACATTACTTTGCATGGCACAAAATCAGAGGAACCTGAGAGATCTAACGTTGGTATCAGAATACAACGCAGTGCCTGATGTGTCATACTACTGTAAAGAGCTCAGATATATATTCTGTTGTGTCTCCTCTTAGTAAGACGTGCTAATTTTCAGGTGGCCAGGGCTCCCTTTAACCAGAGACAATAATCAGTCCCTAATTCAATGAAAACCATCACAAAGTTATTCTTCTACAACACACCATCTCCCACCAATCTGCAATAGCACAAACCGTATCAAAAATGGATTAGAACTGATTTAGAGCTCATTGAGTACAATGAAGAATAGATTCAATATTACAATTATGTGGAAAGCTCTCCACATTTGTATCATTGACACGTTTCTTTTCAAATAGTTTTAATACGTCTTTCAGACTATACAAGCATAACAAAACAACAACAAAAAGTTTCTGGAGTTTGGCAGCTTGGAAAAGGCTACCAGTGTATTTATTTATTTATTTTTCGATTAAAAGGATCCAAGGTTGCAAAAGGGACTAAACAAGTTTTATTGTCCCCGTGATACATCAAATTAGCCATAATATACACTTATCAACTATCCCAAGAATAAAATTGAAATTGACAGATTTTCATGTGTGGGTACTTCATTGATACATTACATATCTGTTAGTGCAATTTAATTGATACATTGCAAATCTCTATGCCGAGGTAACGAAACATTAAAGGGCCACTATAGGCACCCAGACCACTTCAGCTTAATGAGGTGGTCTGGGTGCCTGGTCCATCTAGGGTTAACCCTTTCTGCTGTAAACATAGCAGTTTCAGAGAAGCTGCTATGTTTATGTTAGGGTTAATCCAGCCTCTAGTGGCTGTCTCATTGACAGCCGCTAGAGGGCTTCCGCGTTTCTCACTGTGAAAATCACAGTGAGAAGACGCCAGCATCCATATGAAAGAATTGTGAATGCTTTCCTATGGACTGGCTGAATGCGCGTGCAGCTCCTGCCGCTCATGCGCATTCAGCCTGAAGAGGAAGGAGAGGAGGGAGGAGAGGAGGAGGAGAGCGCTGGAGAAAGAGGTAAGTTTAACCCCTTCATCTCCATCCAGCCCAGCGGGAGGGGGACCCTGAGGGTGGGGGCACCCTCAGGGCACTATAGTGCCAGGAAAACGAGTATGTTTTCCTGGCACTATAGTGGTCCTTTAAGTACGGAATAGCGCTGTATCAAAATATTTTCTGCCAATTGGTCTGATGCGACATATAGTCAAAAAGCATTATATAAAACGTGCCACTAAGTCATGTTTGCATAAAAGGCACACTTCAGGCTTTGAATTTACATTAGGAAAAGCAATTGCGTGTAGAGAAACCCAATACTGAGAATCTAAATCAATAATAGTGCCTGCAAGAAAACAGCAGGATCACTGATCAAGGTGATACAATCAGACATTTAATTCGAACATAATCTTTTTTTATGTTGATTGTCCCTTACATTGACGTTTTTCAGGGATTATAAGCTTGGTTACCAAGTTAGGGGGTATCACGACAGTGACGGTTTCCAAATGAAATGTGAATATTGTGTTGTAGACGGGTGGATGGCTTTTAACCCACTAAGCACTTCTAAAGGTTACACGGCAGACAGATACTTGTCCCCTGCAGTCAGGTGATCTAATAACAGAAATGACAGAAGAATGACAGGTCCACAGGATAGCTGTCAATTTGTAGAATAGCAAACGCTTCTCAATCAGCAGTGCACAATTTTCTCCTTGTGTCCACAGTAAAGAGACAAGGGGACAATTAGAATGAGCCCAATAGCCAATATAAACTGGACTGTGATGAGAGCAGAACCTCTTATAGCTCAAGGAATCGGGACATGTTTATGGGAGAAGAGGGGGGTCAATCAAAAACAACACACACACATTCTCATAGTGGCCCAAGTAGGTAACAAAATCATTCGTCAGGATTCTGTCAGGTCCCAAATGTTTCTCAAATCACTGTTCTAGAACTACTGCAGGATGAGGGAAAAAAGAAATATCTCCCAACGTAATTATAAACGGCATATCTACTGTGGAGGCATACTGGCAAAAGAATGTTCCAAAACAACTTTCCTTTAAAAGACAAAGTATTTGTATTAATAGAAGTCATATAATTAGTAATAGTAGGACTATTAAAAGAGGAGTAGTTTCAAAGAGAAGCAATAGTTTTAAGATCATTAATCCGTGAGACATTCCTAACAGTATTCTAGAGATCCTTACTGAATGACTGTATCAGTAAGGTATTTTAATACCTTAGATTAGGGGTAGGCAACCTACGGCACTAGTGCCATGCGCAGCACTCGAGGTGCCTTTGCACGGCACTCAAGGCTGCTAGAGCCAAACAGGCTCTGGCCTACCAGGAGTCCCAGTAAAACTTCAGATATCTGCTAATCAGAAAAGGTGGTGAAGGACAATCCTCAATTTATGCATTGCAGCACGTAGAGGAAGTGATCTCAGATCACTTCCTCCCAGCACTTGTGAATAGGAATCCACACCGTAGTAGAGCAGCACGCAGCTGCTGTTGCAGCTCCTGTCCTTGACATGTACCTGGCCGGCCTGGTCCCCACTGGAACCCAGGGAAGTCACCCACACTGCTAGATATACACAGAGCTGCAGAATAGCCCTCCCCTCATAAAAATAGTACGGACAGCCCACACACAAACATACACACAATCCGCAACACCACTAACAATCCACATTCATGCACACAACCCCATATGCAGCCTCTCACATGCAATACCCCAATAAGCCCCCACACACTACCAAACACACAATGTGACATATCCATCCACACACACAATTCAACAAGCAGCCCCCATACACAGCTTACATTCATATGTACACAATACCATAAACTACTCATGAACATATACAATATAATAGCTCATATACGCAGGGCCGTCTTTAACGCAGGGCAAACGGGGCAGCTGCACCGTGAGCCCCGCTGGCCTCGACTATTTCTCACCCCCTGGCCGGCAATCCGCACACTAAGGAGGCCCACTGGCTGGCCCATGCACAAAGGGCCACCCGGTGGGCTTCTGTCAGCAGGGGTCTGGTCGTGCGCTAAGGCGCTTTAACAGCGCGAGCGAGCCCCTTGCTTTTCGGCAGCAGGCTGGGAGGAAGGGATAGCCGTGCATCACTTCCTCCCACAAAGAGAGGAGCGTGCGGGAAAGAAGAGTAGACAGAGTGGAGGGTGGCTGGCCGTGAGAGACAGATCCCACCTCCCAACACCTTCAGCCACCAGCAGGAAAGGTAGGAAACTGGAGGGTGGGTTTTAAAGTGTAAACTTGGTGTGTGTTAGTATGCTTGTGTGTGTCATTATATATGTGTTTGTGTGTCAGCATATGTGTGTGTGTGTGTCAGTATATCTGTGTCTCAGTATGTCAGTGTGTGAGTGTGTGAGTGTCAGCATGTCTGTGTTTGAGTGTTTTTGGGGAGTTCCGTACCAGAGACTAACAAAAGAGACTAAAAACCCGAATATGGGTCCCTCAAACGGCAGTAAACGAGCCTCCCACACAGAGACTGTAATAGGACGAAAAAATAGGAAATACCGCCTTCTGGAGACACATAAAACACTGGACATTCGGCTGTCCTATGTGAGGCCTACTCCGCCAGCACCTGCCAAAATGGTGCCCGAGGCACCCAGCGAGGAGGAGGCCTCGGAAGATTCTCCCACAAAGATAAAGAAAGCCTTACCTCACCTCCGGCAGAAGATGGGATCCAATATTAAGCTTCCGAATTGGAAGAGGAATCATCCTCCGTGACGAAGAGGGACATTAGAGACCTCTTAGAAGAAATGCGGGAGGTGTGAACGGCAGACATGCGGAACACAAGGAAGGAGGTGGGAGATATCCAGAAGAGGCTTATTGAGGTGGAACCCAGAGAGAGCGCAAGAGACACTCAGCAACAGCTCTCCAGAGACGCTGTACAGGACCTTAATTCACAGGTCCAGGAGCTCACGCGGACTGTCACGACGCTGGAGGCCCAGATTAGGAGGCGGAACATCCGCATCCAAGGCATACCAGAGACCATTGGAGGCGAAGCCCTGTTGACGTACATATATCGCCTACTAACTGGAATGGGAATGGGGGGAGCACTGAGTCCGGTATGATAATATCCACGTTCAGAATCTGCAAAGCCGCAACAGCTCCAGCGGAATCACCAAGAGTCACTATAGTGGTCACGAAAGATACCCGAGACTTAGGTAGTGTGCAGTTAGAGGGTAGCACGGTGACCTCCCGTTCGCAGCCCTGGTAGAGCGGAGACAACTTGCACCAATGGCCAGAAGGCTAAGAGATGCTGCAGTTATATTCCGGTGGGGTGCAGACGGATCCCTGGCGGTACCACGGGGAGACCAGACACTCTATCTAGCTTTTATCTCTGCATATGCTGGATATTTGACTAGCACAAACCACACACAAAATTATAATTCCATTAAAGGCAAATACCAATGTTATTTTAAATGAATTCAGTTATACTGATGAATTACTGGAAAATCCAATTATTCTCTTAGAGAAACATTGGAACACAGGTTACACAGCTGGCAATGCTTCTCATAGTTTGGGAAGCACTTCCTTCTGCTTTGTGTTGGGGCACAAATCAACCAGGAAGAGCACCCTACCAGCTGTCAGATGTACCTAGCCATTGATAAATTAGCACTTTAATCTCTGGAACTGATACAAACCAAATAGGATTATCCTGTGTCAATGAAAAATAATGCCAGTATTAAAACTATGATATGTTTTCCCCAAGAAATCAGAAGTCATTGAGTTGATGATCTAATAGTTGATAGTTACATATAATCAGCACTAGGATGTTAAGGTACAGCGATAATTAGGAAACACCCAGTGAGCTTAGACGATGAACCCTGGAGGGATTAAAGCAATAGATTGTGCCAGAAAAGGAGCTCTCATTTCTTTGGGGTGTCTAACACACACAATTAATACAGATAGCGGAAAAAACGATATGCAATTAACCAAGTAAGGGAATCAGACAAGACCAGTTTTCCCCAAACCAGTCGTTCTCATGGCCCACGAACAGTCCAGGTTTTGTCAGTATCCCCATTGGGGAAAAAAGGAAATACATAAATACTGGATTGTTAGTGGGCCATGAGGACTGGGTTGGTAACCATTGTCCTAGACCACAACGAATCAAGTCAACCAACTGTTGATTCTTCAAACACCAGTTGAGATGCTTCACATTCTATCATGGTTCTGCTTTATGGCACAGTGCAAAGAATCTTGTTGAACATCTCTTCCCTTTGTCCTATTCTTTCTTTCTATACTGTTCGCTCTTTTAACTTCTTTCTCAATTTTTCATGTATAACAATAGAAGCTGAGTGAGCTATTTCTCCACATATAGTTGTTTTTGTCCCAATGTACTCTTAACATGTTATTTTCAATCACACGCCAGTAAAAGTACAAGAGAAGGGGGAAAAAAAAGTATAAAAGGTTCTTTTACCCCTTGTGTTTTTTGCCACGCTGCCACGGCAGTGGGTATGTAAGAGCTTTGTGTCACATAGCAGTGAGCGAGCAGCACGTGGCTCAGAGATGTCCCAGGACGTACAGCGTCCAGCACTCTGTCCACATGGCGCAGTGAGACAACGGCTTCCACTGCAATTCCTCCTGAAACCAGCTGCATGGAGCAGGGCTTGAGCGCGATCTGTCCAGCACAGAATATTGCAGAGCCAACCTGGAAGGACAAAAGGATAATCATCATCAATATGATCTATAAACCCACAGCATAATACAAAAATAAACAAACCTAGACGCCTTAAACTTTTACTTCCCCGGATGTATCGACACGCTACCGATGTTGCAATATGTTCACCATAGAACGGTCCTTCTCTCTCTCTGTGTACTCATATTTTTTAGTTTTTATTTACATATTATGCTATTTTAAGAGGTTATATGCACTCTATATTATATCACTTACACCAAATTCACAAACCTTATTTAACTGGCACATACATTATTTATTTTCTAGGACAGGTAAAAGGCATCAAATAAAAAGTAAAATCACGTCAAAATCATACTTAAATTTTTTTTTAAAAAAATTAAAAAATTAAATCACTATTCATTTTTTTTATTAATCCATTGCTTTAATACAATATTTTAATACCGCTTTACATAACCTAGAATAGCTCTGCGAAAAAGTGAAATGAATGGAAGGACGGCGCCAGGCAACTCCAGATACTATAACCACTTCAACGAGACGACGCACAATTACAGAGGCTACGGTGTCCCTTTAATATATATTTTGAAGAGAAAAAAAAAATATCACTGGATTCTTCTCAGTATCATAAGGTAAAGAGGAAGGCAATTTATTACAGTAAGCAACTCATTGTTTACTGGGCCTCAGGAGAAAAATTTACACTTCCTACCAATGGTAGTCCCACTTTAGCACAACAGGACACTTGTATGTGGTCATTGCACCAACCATTCACTCTGATAATGCACAGCAGTGGATTCACATGGGCTTTGTATAATACTATTCACAATGTGACACGGAAAATCGCATTTATACTTGTATATATCCAGATCTAGACTTTTTACAGATTCACATATTTGTCATCATATTTATATAAGTGTAGTTATATGAACACAATGTAGTCTGCCATTCTGTTCAACACAGATGAGATCGCACATTACACATCATTCACAATTCCCAGGGCGGGAGAGAAATTATACCATTAAGTCATTAAGCTTTCACTCCTTGCATACAGACCTTGCATGGATCAGCTGTCTGTAACTAACCCTGATCTATATCAATAGCCAATAACCTGAATCCACCTTATGAATGCAGTGCAGTGCCTGGGGCTGCTGCACTAATCAAGGGGTCATAGGGCGCCCAATATTCAATAAGAAAAACAGCATTTTTTAATTTTATTTTTTAACTGTAGCTCCCACTGCAGGGCCCAGCGTGCATTATTCTGCATACTGAGTGACACAGAGGCTGTGCTCCCTGCAGGGATCCAAATTCACGTGGAACAGAAAAAAAGAGGACGACAGAAAAGAGGTAAAATTGATGTCAGCGCTGTAAATGAACCTCTCAGGAAGCCTGTCTGGCAGCAGAAGCATTAAACATCACACAGAATGTGCAAAGGTTACGTTTACAGACACACAACTGTCACAGTAAATAAAGGAAACCGGAGTTATTTGTAGCTAATTAATGGCAAAACACGTATTCTAGTCCAGTTCGGGGAAGGTCACTGGTTAAATAATTTCAGGGTGTTTACAGCATGGAAGCGGTTAGCTACCTATGCCTAAACAAAAATATCAGGCATAAGTAGCCATGATTAGGTGTGCGTGCATGCTGCGCTTGTAAGTGTCTCCCCCAGGAGACATAACCCTCGACCTTGAATACAACTGAAATCGATGAAGGCTGTAACCTCCCTCATCAGATCCCTAACGGGATTAGGGAGCCTCTAACCACACAGTGTGTGATAATCCTGTCAGTAATTAGAGTAATAGAGGCAGCCCTGCAGGGAGCCATCACGTAAAAAGAAAGCACTCCGCACTTCAAAACAACCACAAGAATCTTAGATAGGACCACTCTTCCTACACCAACTCTACAGTCAGGACTATTCGCTGCACCTCTTAATGCTGTGAAATGGCCAAAAAACTGAAAATTGGAAAAATTCCCCCCAGTCGGTTCCTTACAAGTTCGCATTGAATGAATTAACGCTAAAAAACCTACATTCCTCCAACTTTTATTGACCTACAAATTCTTAACAAGGTAGAACGGCAGGATCAAGACCTAAGCTGCAATATTATGTATACAGCTTTATATACACACACGTATGTATAGGTATTAAGATAGGATTGCACACAGCCATAGAGATATTGTATATTGTTATATAATGGCGGTGCCCCTCCCACATACAAATCTCAGTTGATTTTGAGATGTCGCAGGTTGCTCAGGTGGAAGTAACACTCGCTATGTGTGCGCTGCTGGGTGGTGCCGAGTACCGCTCTGTTTGCCTGTCTGAATGGTGAATTCCTCTATGCTGGATATGCTGTGCAGGCCAGGCAGCGCTGTCACCTTCGCTTTGTCCACGCGGCGGTGATTACCCTCTTTTTCTCCTGCACGAGCTCCGCTTTGTGAACGCTATCAAGGTCAGGAGCAGTCGCTCAGAAAACCAAAAATGTAGTCCCCCTCCCTCCCCCAATCTGAATGAAGTGTGGCCCCCCCTTCTCTCCCCCACCCACCCCTGCAGTGCTTCCCTGGGTGCCATCTCCAGGAGAAAAAAACCAAACAATATTTCTGTTTCGTACAGATGTAAAACTCACACATTACAGTGTGCCACAACCAGGCCATGACGAATGTGCCCCCAAGAGCTTACAATCTATGCGGGAGTAGCCCAAAATAAACACAGAACCAGAGTACTGCCATTTACAGTGTTGTCTGCATGACCAGACTTATGCACCAAATAACTCACGACACGGCCACTAACTGCTGCGAATAACGAGTCTGTCCTGTACACAGCTTCAGAGAATGTGTAAAACTTTAGTTTCTCTTGCTCTTCCTAAATGAAGGGAATGCATGTATTGCTAAACAGCTGTTTTTTTGCAGTAAGAGATGCAAGTCCACAGATCTCCCCAGGTTCAATCTGAATAATCTAAAATACACTGAGCAATATTCTGTCCTCCCAAATATAAACACAATGTATATACAAGGGCCTTTTCACAAGCAGCTCACTGTCTCTTGCAGAAATAGCTCTTTCAATGATAGAAAAGCTCATGGCTTTATAAACTCTTTCAGAGTTCACTAACTATAAAGTTGTTCCCCAATTTTGGTAGCTGCAGATCTGCACTACTATTACGGTGAAATGAAGAAATAAAAATGAGCCAGGTCATCCTTCCCTCGTCGTCCTTTTTGACCAGATTCCTGCAAAATTAAACTCTATTGGGCAGTAATATTATAGACAAAGCCTGTGTGAATGGAAAAACAGGTCCAATCACATCCATTTGTCAGATTATGAAAATTACATTAAGTTTGTAGTGAGTTCGTAAGAGTACGTGCCCTCTCTGGCTGGCACATGACAATAAATGTACAAAACAAAGATGACATAAATTATACCGAATACTTTACAAGGGATTTTCCTAACTGTGACATCAGCGGAAAGAGAGAGATAATAAATAAACCGATAAGCCTTCTTACAAATCAATGCTTATTCTGAAAAGACGCAAATGATTAAAAATAAATAAATAAATAAAATAAATATATTTTTATCAATATATCGGTATAAACACACACAAAACACACAAAGTATGTGAGTGCAAAATTAACTCAGGACAAGTTTGTATTGGAATTAATTGCCACTTTATAACAAATTACACATATATATATATATATATATGGATGGGGGTAGACGTGTAATAGCGAAGTGTATGTTCGTTCAGTTTTACATTATTATACACCTTAATAACTTGTCATAACTGCACTTTAATTCCCGCAGTGACATGCTTAATATGGCTTCCCTCTGGCATTGAAGCTGTTAAAGAGTAGGATTCCTTTCTTCCTCCTGGTATCTTGTGCACTGCAAGCTTCTTCTCGTCTCCAACACAAGGGGGTGGGGGCTTTGTGAGGGGCATTACTTCTGCCAAGGTGCCTTCGGTGACCTGCCCGCTGGGGACATGGGTCCCCTTCCAGGACACTGGAAATAGTGACAAACCCCATCGCCCCGCATTAAGATCCTCACTCTAATCCATGTAATTTCAAGGAATTGGAAGAACGTCAGCTAAAGGGCAAGATGTCTGAATGAGTGATGCCGAAGGGACAGTCTCTTCCCAGGGCTGTCATATCCTAAAGACCCCCTCCCAACTCTGTCAAGCCCTGTATGCTGCTGAGCACTGTAGTACAATAATTTGAGCACTGGGTGGCACCATAGGATAGGGTTCCAAATCTCCCTTGATAGTCGATAATTTCTTCCCCTTAATATATGGTACAGAAAACCATATGGTTATCACTTGTTTTGAGAGACTTAGAATCCAAAGAGTTCAACCGTTGGATACAAAAACAGCAATGCCAGAACATATACCAGGTGCATCTTATAAACAGTCAATGATGACTCCTGTTTGATTATAATTGAGGATCTTCTATATTTGTGATACTCTCATACAACAGATGTTAACAGATGTTCACTGATACTATTATAGTACGGTTACCCTACTGAGATGATCATACACTGGATGTACGAGACCCACATGCCATAGATACTATGAACTTAAATATTTGATATATTAATAAGACATGCTCTCGAGAGTCTGGGCAGCAGATTATAATCTTTTGGTAAGAAGAGGTGTCATATTTTCTCAGACAGGAGTCACTGGCAGAGAAAAAACCCCAAGGGGACAGAATAAGGAAACGTGTCATACTAAACTGCTTTACCCCTGTCACTATTCTGTCCAGGTTTCATTTGCCTGCGCATCCCCATTCTCACAGTGTTTCTAGTCCCCTCCTGCAACATAGAGCAGACTATTTATGACACTGCCTGAATACAATAAATCTCTGTGATAAGCGACACATGTCCTTTCCAGTTTGCCTCGAATTCTGTTACTGACACTAAGCGTTGCTTACCCATACGGCCTGGCTGTAAGGTCCGATATTAGCCGGGGCCCAGTGAGAGATACTTTGAACATGCATGGCTATCTTCTCTGGTGTGTAGTCATCACTGCAAACTTCAGGCACCAAATTCCAGAACAGACCATCCAACTGAAAGAGAGTATCCCCAGAGAGGGAGCACTGTACGCATACCCTACAGAAGAAGAAAGCATGAAAAATAAAATGACTTATTGCTCACATATCCCTGACCACAAACAGCTATGTCTGTCCCCAGGACGGCTGCAAATAATGATAAAATGCAAAAGATGCTTAGAACACAGAACACGGATTACAGAGCCAGCATGGTCTAGAACTCTGGCCAAGGCCAAAACAAGACGATGTACAAACTCAAAACAAAGGAGCAAGTCTCACCTTGAATTCCTCCTTCAAAAGATACCAATATATACACTACAGGCAGTTGTCTACACTTACCGAGCAGGTGGAGCCTCCGGGAAAAGAGTTTTGTATACACTGTTTATAGCAGCAAAATCCTCCATGTCTCTCATATAGAGATGGACCAGTACAGCGTCTTTCATCTTGAATCCCAGCTCCTCAATCCGAACTGCAAGAATGTAACATGCACTTAAATTAAAAAAACATAAGTCCACAAACCCAACGAGATAATAGGTTTCTCAACCTGAACATCAATGATAATAGTTGACCTGAAATTGATATCACTATTAATGTCCTACATCAGGTATCTACAACTATCTACAACTTCCATGATGTTCCATGATCTAATTAGGTAACCATTTTTGTGGAGGCAACTATCATTTTTTAGGCTGCCTATGGTTGGTTATAATTATTTTACACAAAGGACTTGTAGTTGATAACTTGGTATCTTGTGTGTGTAATATAATAGGACAGTGTCCTGGTGAAATGTTTTTATTTAATCTAAAACAATAAAGTCCTAGGAGTGCTATCCTTTGAATTTTTGTTGCACGCACATAAATAAGGTACATTCTTGAGGCTGAGAATATAGATAATTGGTAATATAATAGATATTTTAAAAATGGAGGAGTTATCTCTTTCTAAAGAGATTTTGTAGATATTTGTAAAAAGGTCTGGATTTGTTACTGGTAAAAACAAAGATATCATATTTAATGAGTGCGGTTCTTCAAATTGTTTTTATATTTTCCTTCTTATGGTTCAACAGCAGTAACTGATATGTCAAAGGTTGAAGTTGATGAACTTCTAAGCAAGAGTGGGGTGGGGTGGGGTGGAATAGATGGACATGTATAATAGATAAAACAATTAAAAGCTTAGAGGTGGAAAGATGAAAAAGAGAGCAGTTGCTGAAGTAACAGATCAGAGAATGGAGATCGACATAGTAAAGTTTGCTTCTATTATATCAGTTCAGTGAATTGTCCTGACGCAATAAAATATTGTACTACATATCTTCTCCATGTGCAATGGTCCCTCTAGTGGTTACATGGCTAAAGGATTTCCACTGAAGCAATATTGAGAGTTTAACAACATTATTTGTTGTGAGTTTCAGCAACATGCCCAAATCAGCAAGGGGTTGGATAAAAACATCGGCACACGAACTTCCAAAATGGGGGCAAGCAGGAGCAAAGCCACTAGATGTGTACCGCTATGCAACATCTCATGTGTGTTCCCTCGGGATTTGAGTCTATGGAGTGGAGAAGGGTGGTGCTCTGTAACAACAGTTAGCAACTTGAATTATACTTAGGGATACTGTCCTAGTCTCTTTATGCCTGAATTTAGTTGGAATAAAAATCATATACTATCAGATGTTGTACACCATTTATTTTTTATTTTTATTTTATAGCATGCTCATGTAAACAGAATATAAAAATTAGTTATATGTATGTTTGCATAATCTGTTCCAATTCATACCAAGAGTCCAAAGGTCACATAGAAATCTAGCTGTATGTAATGTAAACGCTCTCCCAGATCAGGACTGCCTAAATGCAGAGAGCCCCAATCACTAAGGGAATTAAGTGGCAACATAATTTAGGATTATATGAAGAGAAAAAATCCTTAAAGCGGGTATATTGAGAGAAAGTCTTGCTCAGATGCTAACTCTCAAAAACCTGCCAAAGGTTTACCCATACGTAAAGTAAATAACTCAAAAATAAGGGTATAGAATTACAATTGTTAAAAAAGTAGTCTTTAATGTTTAGGCACTAAAATAGTCTATAATGGTATAAGACACTTAATACTGCACAATTGGGAGATGCCTAGATACTGGACTGAACCACTGCTGATCGGTCAGCACTCCCTAACTACACTCTTTATTAAAAGCGTTTCGGACTGGATCAGAGCCTCGGGGTAATACAACAGCTATAATTAGCTAATGTAGTCCATGATGTGTTATCCCAAGTTCCACCCCACCACCACCATGAAACAAGTGCCCTTCAGTGGACATCTGAAATGCTGGGAGCTATGCCAAAATAAAAAACTAACCTGTTGGTAAACCCTGAGGGTTGGGATTGACGTTTCTAAACGTTTAGAGATTTGACAAGCAGCTTATTTAAATTTAAAAAAAAAAGTATATTTAATATTTTTTTCTATCTTTGACATGCTCCTAATTCTAGGTACATTTGTCAGCTAATAAATTCTACAAGAACTATGGTGTTAATCCATGTGAGTCATAAGGAATTAACACGGCTCCTTGCCAATCATTGTGCATTCTACTGACAAACAATTGCTTATTAAATAAAGGTTTATTAGAAGTGCATCATGTTCCTACATTCATACACAGTAAGGAACACACCCGAATTATTAATATCCATTTACTATTCTTTAACCTACTTTGTTATCATGCCATCCGGGTTATATACCTCATTAACCAATTCACAAACAATGAACTCGTGTTTAATTTGGCCGGCATCAACATAAATAACGAAGGCACCTTCGTTGTTTTGGTTTTTTTAAACCTGTCTTAAAGAATAACGGTCGCTTTTTTTATTTTCTTACTTAATAACAGATTTGAGGGAGGAAAGATGTGTGCTTAACCTAAACAAAAACACAATACTGTTGCAATAAAAAGAAATCATTAATACAAATCAGGATTTCAAAAAAAAAAAAACAACTCCAGGGGTTAAACCCAAATTTTCAGGGGTCATTTCAAATACAGTAAATCCTGGATCAAAAATTATATAAACAATGTTTTAGAGTAGCTAATATAATATCACAAATAGTAGAGAGCTGGAAAAAAACAACGTTGGCAGCTGCGGACCTTAGATTCCAACAGCCACTAATCTTGGGCAGACTCTAGATAAGACAGTGTGATAAATAACACCAATTAGACTATACAGAGCAGACAGAAAGAAAGAAGTTGATAACTTATTATATCCAAAACTATATATACCTTTTAGTGCGGAAAATCCTCTCTGAGAAGCATCACATACGTTTTGCCCGCTGCACATGATGCCACGGAACCACAAGAATCCACCAGGAGACTGGGAGTAACTGATTTCACCTAAAAACAAACGTCAAATCACCAATAAGGCAGTGATGCAGTACAATTCACTGGATTTAAAAATATAAATAAACACTTAAAGACAGCAATAACGAGGCTGTGATAAATCTCACACAATGCAGTTTGACTCTATACAGCTTTAGGTTTTCAAACCATTGTGTAGATATGCATATATATACTTCCGGTCGCTTATTTAATCAAGAATACAATTTACTAAAAATATCCGAAACCCCTCAAATCTGATTTACAGGACAAAATTGCAGAACAGCTAAAAGGTTCCTCCCCTTTATGCCCAGCACATCCATGTTAGTGCGGGGAACGAGCCAATCAGATGCTTCCATTATGGAAGTATTGAGGGTAATTCTTCAATTAAAAGGTTCTCATATACGTTGGTGGCTATATTGAGATTAGGGATTCATATACAAGAGTAAAATCTTACTCTAGGGCGATATTAGTTCAACTGCCATTTTAAACTTGATATTTTATGTCTCAGTTAGAATGGTGACTTGCTATTTAAATATGTTGCAGACTAAAACTCTTCATCAGGCTCAGCCAACCACTGGATGGGGTTGATAGGAGTTATATTCCACATGATGATCTGAAATTTACAAGACATAAATTCCCGATAGAGTAGCTTGTGTGTGTGTTTTTTTCCAGTATGACCTCTGCACTTAGGAAAGACAAAGGTTAAAAACCAGAACTGAATTGTGTTTTTTTTTATTAATGAGTTAAAGAGTGATATTTTCGACCAGGATAAGAGAATTTCTGGCTAGCTGAATGAAAGCCCAGGGAGATTGCTCTACACATTAAAGAAGAAAAAAAAAATAGGCAGTGGCAATTAACTCCAGAATTATTAGGTTGCAGGGAAAGGGTATTTGCACCATAGACACTTTTGTAAGATGAAATGGTTATGTAGCTTAGGGTGATCCTTTAGAATCTACAAAGTTACTTACAACGTTTTATTATTAATCTCATCACCATGGATTTTCCACATTTTATATGATGATTCCTTTCCTACATTTTCCTGTGATGCCTACATGTCTGGTATTCATGTGATCTCAGACTCCCCTCACTGCCTCGCCATTTTCAAAACCTCCATCTACAACTAACGTATGTGGGTTATGAGACAGAGGAGCAATACCTACATGATGGCACTGACGGCAGTCCGTGTGGTGCCCAAATCACAGGCTGCTGCTCTGCAACACCTGGAAAAGGGTCTGTACAGCAGTCAACCACGCAAGGGCATTCTCCGTCCACATCCAGAGCCAAGGCGCCAACCTAGAATAACAGTTAACACAGTCAGATCAACCACAACAATTTGCATGGCTTGCAGTTTATTTACATGTGTTGAGATCACTTGACCTCTGACAGAGAATGATGTGGTTAATATCATATCAAAACAGATGTGTCTGCAAGTACATGTTGAGAATTTTAAGTAAAAAATTGTCATTAGTAGAAATTCTGCACAACTAAAAGGCTAGTTAAACGTTAGCCATAAACTGTGCTATTAATTTAAAAATCTTTTTTTTTATTTTTATTGACATGCCAAGCTAGGTACACCATGTGAATTAGTTTAACCTTGGCAGTGCCATGTGCATGCACACGTATGACATTTCTGTGCAGGTGAGTGGGCATGTCCACGGCTGTACCACCTTAGAGCTGCAAAGTTGCATCACACAAGTACAGAGTAGGTAAGTGTTTGTGCTTTTTTTTTATTATTAAAAATTATAATTATTTTTTATTATGTACGTCCACTGCTTTGGTTAAGTCAGTCGCCAGTGTTTACGACAGATGTAATTTTGGACATAATTAACATTAGGCAGCTCAGAACAGGATTCCAGGCTGCCTAAATCAGGTGTGCCATGGGTGTAAGTAGCCTCGGGCACAAAAGTGCAGCATTTCCAGCAGAAATGCAGCACATACAAATTCCTTGCTCCATGACCGCTTCTAAAAGCAGACGTTGTCACGGTGGTTGCCCTAGATTAGTGGGAGATATATTTCCCATCTGTAGTTACTGCCATTAAAGGGACACTATAGTCGCCAAAACAACTTTAACTTAATTACGTTGTTTTAGTGTACAGATCATACCCCTGCAATGTATGTAGGGCTGCACAAACAAAGTGATTTAACTCCTAAATGTCCGAGAATTGAGCAGTGAGCCTGATCTATACACTAAAATGGTTTCATTAAGCTAAAGTTGTTCTGGTGACTGTAATGTCCCTTTAACCCCTTAAGGACCAAACTTCTGGAATAAAAGGGAATCATGACATGTCACACATGTCTTGTGTCCTTAAGGGGTTAAAGAAGCTTTCTCCATTTGACAGAAAACATCCCTTACAAAATGTGAGAGTGCGCTAGCTGTCTTGTTGTTTCTGTATTAAAATGTCTGCATATTTGATATTAGACAAAGATGGATAGGCAGAAACAGACAGAGAGACAGGTTGTAATTGAGACAGTTTTCAGTGAGACGTTTTGAATTAAACTCTGTAAAACCTATGTGACCTACTTTTTCTTCAAGATGGAGCTTAACTAATTGAAGGTACGCGACAGGCGCAAAAGCATCATTTGAGTGCATCACCACCTCGGAGGAATCACTGCAGCAGAAAAAAACAAATGAAAAAATGAGCACTGGGCAAAAACCACTAGGAATGAAATCTCACAGGGGTAACAGAGGGAGAGAGATATGCTGGAAAAAAAGATCTTCTGCTAAATGACATCACAGGGCAGCGGAAAAGGAGCTCCAGAGTGACATCAAGGACAAAAAAAAGAGCAGTTTCTGAGTGATATCACATGATAACACAGCATGTGGAAGAATGACATCAGAGGTTATCAAACATGTAGGCTACAGAATGACATCACATGCAAATGATTAGATACTCGAAATCAGGGGTGCCAAAAAGGTAGACCCCCAGATGTTGTAGAACTACAACTCCCATAAAACTATGCATGCCTTGAGAGCGGCAAAGCATTACAGAAACTGTAGTTGTAAAACATCTGGGAATCTACCTTTTGGGCACCCCTGCTCTAGCGTGAAATCCCAGGTTAAGACATTACAGGAGATCCGAAAAGATGTTCCAGAGTGACATCACAAGAAAGGGAAGATGGGCAGCAATATGGGGACAAAATAACATTTTACACAGATAATACTATAGATAGAATGACCTATTCTATATAGGGGGAGATGCATCAAGAGAAAGATTTGAGCCTTTTTTTTTTTTATTGAGCACATTTTATGAAATCTGTAGGATTTTTTTAACTGCTGCTTTTTTGCCAATTCTTTTAAGCAATACAACATATTATCAATCTTTCCGTCACTTTGTCTACCAGAAAATTGTTCTGTTCTTTTCTGAAATGGATATATCTGAGACAAATGGCAGAATATTGTTACAGTAAGACAGACACCTTTTAGAACAATTTTAAAAAATATGCTCATTTTAGAGACTAAAAAATAAAACACTTTTCAGAACATTTAGATAATTCTCCTGCTATGCTTTGAGGCCAACAGAAAGTTTGTCTCTTTTAAACCTAATTTCCAAAGTACAGAGAATGTAAAAACCACAAACCATGATATTTCTATTGATACAAACCTTCTCATTTCTAGGCAGTACCTTTCCTTTTATAAACAGTAACCTGGCTTACTGATATATGTCACATAAAACAGATTACATACATTAGGCTGATCAATTAGATACAAAGGGACAAGGGCGATAACTATATAATATAGCAGATTTTATATATGTAAGACAGGAAACAAAGATTGCCTTGCAGTACTGTTGCCTGGAGCTACAACGAGAGCTTGTTAATACTGGAAGTATAATAACTAGCCAGGAGATACACAAGTGATAAGAAACACTCGAATACCATTCTATAATGGATGTGGGATGCCGAAAGCAAACAGACAGGTTGTCTATGTGTTATATACTCCTAATTCACAGCAATCAGAACATGTGTCTTATCCATTCTCATTGCAAACATCAGAACCTTTTCTCGGACCCTTAATTCAGATGTAACACGTAATATATGGTTGTTGGTCATTTAACACAGTCATGACAGGTATGTTACTAGCATCGGCAATTAAGGTACACATACTTCAAACAATTACTACACAGATATCTGGATACAACACCTTCCTACAGCTGATCCAATAAAGAGAGGACAGGTGTTTCACCTCAAATCCCGTCCTGTCTCTTATTATACATGTATAAGAGTATTAAATATGCCAACCCGTTAATGCACACATTTAAGACACTGACCCTATATGTGGTGCTAGTAGGATTAAGTCTCTAAGATGACAATCTGAAACTCACATGTTTAAAGGCCTGTATTTGTGGGAGGAGTTTAGCGTTTCTATAAAAACCCACACCCCCTGCTTACCTTTGCCATGCCGGTCAGTTCATTCCACCCACCTCACCTTTCTCCTTTAACTTAATTCTACCTGGGGGGCCCTCTTTTTATTACAGGCCTACCCTTACACCGGTATCGGCACACTGCTACCGACTTGTCCTATTAAATCATGTAATTGCACGCCTTATTTGTTACTGACCACAAATAGATATTTATCTAGTCAATTTCAACTTCTAGTATTCTGTGACTCGGGGTGAGATGTCTCACTTTTCTGAATACATACCTCAAAGCATGCTTTTCTGTCTCTCAAAATGCACAGATCACATAAAATCACTCATCTGTCTCTCATCTAACACACAGTCTTCAATCTCTTACTTCTTCTAACAAAAGATTAAATGGCCCACTAACAGAGCTTGTAAGTGTATAAAAAAAAAACACCCATGACTTACATAACGATTCTCTTTTTGAACAATGGACAGTCTAAGGTGAGGGTCTCGTACTCTCCTCCTTCTCCGCAAACGTTGATGCCATACTGGGAAGAGAGCTGAAATGCAAATTGTAAGTTTAGAGTTCTCAACAGCTGCAAACAGTTGTGTAGCCGAAAAAGAACGTGATGCTTAACTGGCAGACTCGGTACATAGCTAAACACATACAGGCTTATTCACTAAACAGAGAATTCAAGGTGGATTCAAAGAGTAGTGCATATTTAAGGTTAAGATAGCTGAACTTGAAAAATTCTCTAAGTCAGCTAAGCTTGCGGTTCGGCTACTCTGGCCTTTAATGCAAAATTCCCTTTGAATTTTTGCTTAAGTAAGTAACCCTGTTAAACACAAATTCTTCAATATCCCTGGAACAGACTGCAGGGAAATATAGTGGTTCACACTCTGTGTGCACCCTCAATATATTGATTGCGGTAATAAAAAAATAAATATAATAATAATAAAACACATCTGGTCTCATTGTTTTAAGAGTCGCCACTGATTTGTGACAAGAAATTACATTTAGACTAATTCGCTCATCCATTGTTAAAGGATCACTATAGGGTGAGGAACACAAACATGTATTCCTGACCCTATCATGTTAAAACCACCATCTAGCCTCCATGGGTCCCTCATGGCTCCATAAATATAGCAAAATCTTACTGTATTCAAGACTGAAGCTGTAGATCTGCATGCTGTTTGCCTCAGAAAAACAAACTGTCTGCTGACATCATCAGAAGTGGTAGCCTGATCCAATCACAATGCTTCCCCATAGGATTGGCTGAGACTGACAAAGAGGCAGATCAGGGGCAGAGCCAGCATGATTCAAACACAGCCCTGGCTAATCAGCATCTCCTCATAGAGATGAATTGAATCAATGAATCTCTATGAGGAAAGTTCAGTGTCTGCATGCAGAGGGAGGAGATACTGAATGTTTGGATGCATTTTAGGCAGCCATGACCCAGGAAGGATCTCGAACAGCCATCTAAGGAGTGGCCTGTGAAGTTATCACTTGGCTGTAATGTAAACACTGCATTTTCTTTGAAAAGACAGTGTTTACAACAAAAAGCCTGAAGGTAATGATTCTACTCACCAGAACAAATTCAGTAAGCTGTAGTTGTTCTGGTGACTATAGTGTCCCTTTAACAAGTCTTATAACTAAATTTTTTTTTTTTTTTTTTTTAAACCCACATATTAGAACATTTACATAGGACTTTCCCCAGTGTCAAATAGATTTCAATTTCAACAAGAAATCTATGTCTCTACAGAAAACAACTTTTGTCAGCAGTTTCAAGCCTGTATGATATATACAATCTGATACAAAACACAAGACATACAACACACTACACAGAAGACTAAAGGGGGAAAAATAATCTCCAACAAATGCAATATGAGGTCAGTATCAATAATATGACCTGGAGATCTTGTCCTAAATGTTGCAAATAAAAGTCAAAATATCTCAACCCCATGTTTACTGAATAGACCCCTAAATAATGTGCACATATCAACCATCAGTCTTTGCAGACTACTTTGGAATTCCTGGCTTGCTGAAGTGGTAATGGTGCAAGGACCCTGTACATTCAGTCTCGCTTTTCAAACTCATTATCTTTCAAGATTTTTTTTAATGAGCTTTAATTTGGAGCATGCTCCAGCCTCCTCTGTGAGACAGCCACCAATTTTATTTCGGGAAGATCAATCCATTAACAGAGCAGATTATCACATCCTACTCCTTATGGGGGAATAATACTGTCACGGTGCCCGATCGGTACCTCAGTGTGACCGCACATGATTGGTGCGGTCGCACTAAAAGAGGGAGAGGTTACTCACCTGACCCCCAGAGCCTCTCCCTCCTTGCAGATTGTGGATTGGCGGCCGGGTCCATCGTTGGGAGGGACGCCGGCGCTGCAAGACGGCGCTAATTAATAAAGGCGCCCACAATGACGCCACTAGTGACGTGAAAGTGCCTGCGGCGTAACATTTACACAGTGCACGCATGTTCTGGGGTCATGGGACCCAAATCAGCCAATAGCAGGATTTATTGGGTTATTTAAACCCAAACCAGCAGTTGTTCAGTGCCCTGTCGTGGTTTCCATCCTGTTGGTTATCTGAGAGCGTGTTCGTGATTCTGAGATTTGGTTTTTGATCTTGGCTTGACTTCCCGTATTTCTGGTATCCCTGACCCTTTGGCTTTGTTCTTTCCGTATTTGTTCCTTTCTGTATTCCTGACCTCGGCTCCAGACTGTTTATTCCCTTACGTTAATTCCAGCCATTCTAAGGCCCTGTAATACATTGTTACTGTTTGTATTTGTTACGTGTTTTACTTAATTCTGCGTGTTGGGCCACTGGTTCGTCCTGACAAATACTTACCTCATATACTGCTGTTGAACAGGGTTTTATGGAAAAAGATCATGCTCAACAGACCATATTGAAATGTTCCTGACTGAATGTCTGTTCCTGGTGAGGAAGACATCTGCCTGAAGTTGCAGATATATCCTCTAAACTGTTTGACTCAAGTAAATTGAATAATCTAAATTGACACTAAGCATCAATACAACTTTAGCTCAATAGAGCAGTTTTTGTGTATACATCAAGCCACTGCAGTCTCACTGATCAATTCTCTGCCATATAGAAGCAAAAACACTTTTGTTTCTGTTTTTTTTTTTTATCTATAGCCACACATCCTCCATGAAAAAAAGGTTTCATTTTCCAATCAGAGCACAGCACAGTGTGTTTACTTCAGAAGTTCTTATTTTCTGTTCTGTTAATTGAACTTCATTCACACACAGGAACATGCTCCCACTGGCTATTAACAGAGCTGTAGAAAATTAATTCTGAATTAAACACACTGTGCAATAAGGGAAGCAAAACATCTGGTCTCTTTTTCAGGAGGTGTATAGGGTTGCTGTGTGAATCACATCATGCGTGCCTCGGGCTGCACAAACTAAGTGATTTAACTCCTTACTGGCAGAGATTGCAGAAACATGATATATACACCAAAACCACTTCATTGTTTTTTTTCTGCTTCGAATGTCCCTTTAATAAGCGCAGAATTATATATATATTTTTTATAGAAACATGAAATCAATGTATAAAGACAGCTGCAACATGCATAGCATTACTTTCAGTAATTGAGGTCTCATCTCTTCCAATGTCCTTCCGAGGTGTTTAACTGGATCCAAGCCTGAAAATAATATACATAAGATTTAAGCAGATCATGCCCAAATGTCAGATAACAAACAGAATTGTGCTGGTAGGGGTAACATAAAGGGACACTCCAACAAGAGAGCTGCACCTCTCCTTTTGTGCAGTTTGTCCGGCATCATATTTCCCATAAAATCTGGTACATGGGGGTCTACTAGAAAAGCTTGGGAAAAGTCAAAATGCTGACTTTATGGTATGGCATTAATTCCTCAAAGACGATCCCTGGGTGGCTGGCTTACTGCATATACGATATTAAAGAGGTTGGCCTCTCAAATATCTCATTCTAATGCCATTCACCTGTTGAATATCATTAGCAGTGAGAACTACCAAAGGGTAATATGTGAATCTATTCATGTAAAATATGTTTAATAAATTTTTCAATGTAAGCAAAGAAGACAGGAAAAACAAACAAAAACAAAGGAACAAACAAACCTGTATCTGTTACACATAAATTATGTTTGTGTATACATGTTATTTACTGGTCTTGTATAGTGTGTGTGTGTGCGTCAAGCAAACAATTTATGTGTGTCTATACATATATACACACACGCACATACATACACGTTTGGAAGAGAATGACAAATCTTATTTTAGGCTGTGGAATCATTAATTCAGAGGAAAGACTTGTGGGCCGATGCTATATGTTGGATGCACATTTTAGATCGGGCACAGCATGGGCAAACTAAAAGGGCACAAGAATCGCAATTAAGAAGCTGATCACACTACTTCCTATGGAACGTTGGAAAACATGTTTAAGGAGCCAAGGAAAGAATATCTTGGAGGGAAATGTATCCATTAACAGACAGGTCCAGACAGATTAACACATTCCTGCAACACTTACAAACCTTCACATTAACAGGAACGAACGGCAATAATCAGGAGACGCATACGCTCACCTGCCCAACCAGAAAGGGGACTTGCTTTCAGACATTACAGGAGATACTAATTAAAACAGGGCCCAATGGATATAGCACCAGTTAGCCAATAATCGTGTATCGAAATAATCGGTTTTATTGTTAATTGTCTATTATATCAATGTATCAAGAACATTGATAGAAACAAAAAAAACTAAGACATTGGGCAGAGAAGATCAGACGATACAATGTATATTTCTGCTAACACTCAGCTACCTCCCTCTTACCAAATGCAGCTACCTTGATGAGGATGGCTTGCAGACCTCGGGAAATCATTTCATCCAGAAGGGTATCCTGCCTCCGACGCCAAAGGTAAGCAAGTGGCTGAAGACCAAGCCGCTGACATCTAAAGAAGAGGAAAGCAAGAAACATGCACTTCATTTCCTAATAGGAATATACCTGGACTGCACAGGGTAACATGTGAGATTTTATACTCACCGACAAATGGAAAGAATGCAGTACAGAATATATGAAATCTATATTTGATATAAATACAGATATGGAATATTAAGAAAGATGCCTCTCACTCAAAAAGATTCCTACATTTTATATTCCTAGCCATCATAATCTGGTTTGTTTGTTTTTTAAATCCTTTTCCAAAATGTTATTTGCCACTTAATTACTGGCAACAGGTCTGGAGGGAGCAACTAAATCTACACAGGCATGCCCGTCCATGCCGGCTGACGAACTTTGATGACCAGGCTGTGATGACATTGGAGTGTTGCATTTCATCTTATTTTCCCAAAGTCACCTAGATCGAACATCACAAAACTGAGTCTGATTCGGTTACAGACCTGGAATCACCCTCTAATGGGTGTTAGGATGTCTTCCCATCTGGAGGTGTGCTTAACCCAGCAATGAAAACAGATCAATATTTTACACTACATGATAAAAACAACAGGGCCACTGATCTTTCAAGCCATATAATAAATGTCATTGGAAACTACTCTACGATGGCCACCTTGTAGCAAATTTAATATTCTGGCTCCAATGTGTGAAATACACAGTAAGCATAACATATAGAAACAGATTTTTGATGGTATATAAGCAAACTCAACCAGACAACCTAGTTGCACCATCATTGTCCATGGCCAAGGAGTTGCATGCAAGCCTCACATCACCAAGTACACTGCCAAGTGTCTGATCGAGTGGTGTAAAGCACGCCGCCAATGGACTCTGGAGCAGTGGAAACATATCCTGTAGAGTGATTAATCACGCTTCTCTGTTTGGCAGTCTGATGGGCAAGTTTGGTTTGACGGATGCCAGGAAAATGTTACCTGTGTGACTGCATTGGACCGACTGTAAACTTTGGTGGAGGAGGGATAAGGGTATGGGGTTGGTTTTCAGGGATTGGGCTAGGAACCTACTTCCAGTGAAGGGAAATCTTAATGCTTCAGCATACCATGACATTTTGGACAATGCTATGCTTCCAAATTTGTGGGAACAGTTTGGGGAAAACCCTTTTCTATTCCAGCATGACTGTGCCCCAATGAACAAAGCAAGGTCCATAAGGACATGGTTGGATGAGTTTGGTGTGGAAGAATGTGACAGGACCGCACAGAGCCCTGACCTCAACCCTATAGAACACCTTTGGGATGGACTGGAACAGAGATTGTGAGCCAGACATTCACATCCAAAATTATTGCCTGACCTCACAGATGGTCTACTGGATGAATGGACAAAGAATCTCACAGAAACACTACTAAGTATTGTGGAAAGCCTTCCCAGAAGAGTGGAAGCTGTTATAGCTGCAGGGGGGGAGGGGGGGACAACTACATATTAATGTTCACATATTTAGAAGGCAATGTCATAAAAGTCCCTGTTGGTGTAATGGTCAGGTGTCCCAATACTTTTGTCCATGTATTGTATATAGCTGCACAACAAAAACAAATACTCAGTAAGTGCATAATGCAATCATAAAGAACAAAGTTAGATAATAGGCACATTAGATGAGTCAACCCTAAACTGTTCCATCACAACCATTTTCTATACGATTAGTTTATATTGAGAGAGAGATTGTATGTGAATAATGAATAAAATCAAAATAGTGGGGAAAAACATCAACATGTCTAATTAATTGATTCTGGTTACATTTCCCTAATTTCTAAAATGTTGGAAAGAAATGCCCAGCTGGGGTGGCACTGGCTATCTGATAGGTGCTAATGCTGATGGTGCAAGCCTACTTCTTACAAGGGACTTCATCAAGAGCATGTGCTTGTGGTGACACATCCATGGTCTATTGTCACTTTAATACACACAATATACCTTCAAGCCTGACTACAGTGCCCCCTTGATGATAAATTTGAAATGACCTTACACATTCTCCACTCGTACTCGCTGGTACTCTGACAAGATAGCTCCCACAGACACAGAATCCACTGACTCCTTCTCCTGCAAAACAGCCAGAGACACAGTGTAGTAAACACACAACTAGTGAAAGCTAAATGTACAATGTTAGAGTATGGATCTGGGTCTATATACAGCTGTCAACACTTAAATCTTCTTTCTGATTATCTAATATCACTATACATTTTATTAATAATTATTTAATTGTACGGCAAACACAAAAAAAACTCAAATATGATAAAAGAAAGCAAAGCAAAAAAATCACAAGTAAACAAAAATAGTGTTTGCACATTTGCAGTAACAAGGTAACACATATTTTCAAACATTGTCTGCTTAGTACTACTCTGCAAAGTTAAAGGGACAGTTTAGATACAATAACAACTTCATATAAATGAACAGTCAATATTCTCAAAGTGGGGCACCAGCGCCGATCCTCTGGACCACCAGGCGGAATCTGGTTTCTGAATCTCAGTTTCAGGATGCGCGAACTGGTGCCAGGCAGGGGCGCCGCAGACTGGCTGACTCTCAGCCAGTCAGTGACTGCCCATTCGTAAAGCTAGTTTGAAGATTATAGATTCTTTTTAAGCCAGTTTTATGAAAGGGCAGTCACCTGACAGCAAATCAGCATCGCCCCTGCCTGACTGCACTCCACGCTTCCTGAAACTGAGATTCAGAAAGATAGCGCTAAAGGCTCACTTTGAGGTACCCTTTAATGTAAGACTGTGTCCAGGTTCCTCCTTGTACCACAACTACTTTATTTTTATTCAGCTGTTTTGGCACCTGAAGTGCTCCTTAAAGGCAACTGCTGTTAAAAATGAATAAGCTCAATTAGGGTGACACAACACTACACAATATCTATAAATACCTACATCTATCTATAAATCAATAACATGTACACCTACCTACATCAAGCCAATAAGCTGAAGACTGCTCCCATACACATATTTTGTCATGCAAAATTATTTGGAAAATGTATTTCAGAGAGAATATTACCTGATACAAAAATTAAAATTTCATACAAGGTGACATGTAGGAAATAGAAAATGACTTTAATGTTTAAAAAGATAAAGCAAAGCAGTTTTCATTATGTATTTTTTTTTTTTTTTTAAAGGCATCAAGGCAAATGTACATATTTAGTGGAGAACATAGAGCCTACGATCTATATCCTTTTTTCACTTGTAGACGCACCAGTGGACAAAACAGCTTGAAAGATGTCTCCCGCTGGTTGAGACCTTTGGATCTTTCTTTCACCGGAACTTTGAATATGGCCATTGTGACTAATGAATATGGCTAGACTAGAACACAACATATTGCAAGCAGGAGACAGGAGCAGACTGAGGACTGAAGGGGGAAAGCAGAAAATACTGGACAGGAGAACAGAAGTGGGCATAGCATAAGGCAAGACAAAAGCTAGTCTGAAACTGGACAACTAATACAGCCTTAGAACTAGAGAGGAGGATCATCCTTTTTCATTCTAAAGTTATACAATTGACTAAACTTGAGAAAGTCAAAGCCAATCATTTAGAAGATAGGTCAGTAGAGGACAAGGCAACTGAAAATCACAATAACTCAGAAAAAGTACTTATGATATAAAGATAAAGATGTTAGATATCTCTTACAATTTTATGTCCTAGATCTACAAAGGAGTCAATATGCCTCTTAGATTTCGTTACAAAATTTCTTTATTTTTTGGAAAACGTTAGTGTACTGTCCTCCTACAAAGCCAAAGGGTTTCCACCTTCTTCCTATATCCAAAGTTCATCTGGTCTCATTCTCTATCTACCTCTAAACTGCAGTACAACTGAGGGTGCTTTGTGAGATTCACACTCAAAAATTCCACTAGTTTTTTTAAAATACTGCATTGCTCAGATAAAAATGAATTAAGAATCACATCCATACACATTTGTTATCCTATTCCCATCCTCACTACTACTTTCCCAAACACCGAATCGACCAGAAAAGAAAAAAAATTGCAATAACATTTTAGAGTTTAATTGGTGAATGACACAGGCTATAATTATAGGCGGAAATGTAATATTAATGAGAAAAAAAACTTTAACAGTAAATTGCCTTAAAGCTATTATCAATTTTCTTAAACTACGAGTCCTTAGGTTAAACCCGCTCCCACCCCCGTTGAGATGTAGGTAATTTTTCTCTGCCTGATAAACACAACCATTAAACGTGGTGCGTAGTGCAAACCTTTCTAGTTTTCTTTAAATGAAATCGGTGTGCACCCTCAGGGGGTCTCTGTCTGACTTGATCCCAATGTGTCAGTTAATCAGATAAAGAAATAAATGAAATAATCGTCAAGTCAGAAACACAAACAGCCTGGGGGAGGCGGGAGAAGAGAGAGGGAGGAGGGAAAAAAGGAGTAGTTATTAAGATTTGGAAACAGCAAACAAAATAAGACATCCGGATGATGTTACAGCATGTGTAAAGCTTTCTGATGGCTTGGGGATCAAATTAGCAATCTTCTTAACCACTTACATGCCAAAAGGAATGGTGCCATATTTCAAGCATTAATTGCTACATAGTTACAGTTAAATTAAGATAGAAATATACATGCTTATCGATGGAGAAATGTACAATAAACAAACCATCGATACATAACGTGTGCAGTGCAAATGATCTTAAAGTGTTACACCAAGCACTATAACCACTTCAGTTTGCTGTAGTGGTTATGATGCCATGTTTACCCTGGCCTGATCCCTGGTAATGGAGCAAACCATTTTAAAAAGGTTTTACCCACTTACGTGGGACCCTGCATTGCACGGAGGCTCCCTACAGATTTGGTGACTTGATTCCAGGCTTCTGCCATTGTCGTTTACTAGCTGACAGCGTCTACTGAGCAATTTCAGCCAATGAAAGGCACGCACAGAATTAGCCAGTTCCTGGCTGATGACTTCCCAATGATGTTACCACAGATACACTTCCAGCAGAGCATCATAGCGAATCACCAATATTAAGCTTTCCAAAAGCACAACAGGTTTCAACAAAGAGGTTTTCATTAAGAGCATATAGTATCCAGTCCAAATAACAGTAAATATAGGGTCCATTTGATGAGTCTGTCCCTTCCTTTTTTATTTTGTATTCTTTATTTATGTTGACAAGGTATAACATACATATATCATATCTTTCGTAGCACAAGCTGATTTTAACATGCGCAGTATGTACATAGTGTTTTGGCATTCACGAGACATAATCATACAATGAGCAGCACATTGAAAACCTCTCCCATCGCCCCCAAAGCCTATCGTGTGTGTTACCGTAGCTCTTTCTGATACTGTGAGTTGTGTGTTTTATATATAAAAAGAAAAGAAGAGAGTGAAATAAGAAAGCGTTTGGTAACAATTGAAACTGAGTCGTTATATTAGCATATCATTGGTGTGGACTCTCCAGTTTCTGGATAAGTCTCTCTTTACGCCCTCTGGGAAACTCCTGCTGTAAACAATAGAGTAAGAGATAAGAAAGAGTGAGTGAAAAGTGTCAAAGAAAAAGTCAGTAGAATGTATAGTAGAGGTGGGTTGGGGTGGGGGGAGGGGAAGGTGGTGGGAGAAGCAACAGAGCTGCTTCCTAGTGTTCATCCATCCAGAGGACAGTGGATATATTGGGTCTCCCTAAGCCAAGGGGCTGTCGTCCCAAGGTGCCCATATTTTTTGGAACTGTTTTTCTAACTCTTGCCGTCAGATCATCCATTGTGTGTACCTCCCTTATTTTGGTTATGACTCCTGCTATTGCTGGAGTGGTCTGCTTAAGCCAATCCGCTGCTACAGCTCTCCTGGCTGCTAGAGTTATTTTATGGATGAGTTTTTGTTCGTGTCTGGTCCACCCGTCTATCGTTCTACTGAGCAGGAACAGCCATGGATCTAGAGGAGGGGCTCTGGACATTACCTGGGCTAATAAATCTTTGATTTGTTGCCAGAACCTTGCTATCAGTAGGCATTCCCACCACATGTGGATATACGTCCCTTTCATGCCGCATCCTCTCCAGCACATGTCAGTTGGGTTCTTTCTCATTTGGTGCAATCTTACAGGGGTAGTATACCAGCGAAGCATTGTTTTAACTGCCTGTTCCTGTAATGTTACGCATACTGAGGACTTGTGATTGGCTTCCCAGATCGCCTGCCACTCTATGCCTTCTAATTGATCCCCTAGATCCCTTTGAGTCTGTCCCTTCCTATAGGTGTATTCCTATATTCAGCATCATGTGAACATCAGTGTCAAAGGGTGCAAGTCTGAATCCCATGACCTCATCAACATCGTGTCACAAGGTTCTAGTGATGCACTCAAAACAATCAATTCCTCAGACACCATATTGAAAACTGGAACAACTACAGAACCTTAAAGAAACACTAACATGTCAGGAATACAAACATCAGATCTGACAATCTAAAATTTGAAATGGGTAATATCTTCTCACGCTGTGCCAGTCTTGCCCCACCTCTATGGCTTAGATTATCAATCTTGACGAGCTCAGCCAAGCCAATGCTTTGAAGGCTATTGCACATGTGTGGCAAAATGCGGCACTACGCCAATCAACTTATTTTCATAGAGATGGACTGAATATTTGCATCTCTATGTGAAACCTTGAGCTTCTTCATGCAGAGTGTGGAGACAGTGAACGCCAGTGTAACTGTACTGACTGTTATTGAGCCAAGGAGTATGAAGACAGCTACTCATATCTATGTAGCTGTTTACATCGACAGACTTGAAGAAAGTCTTTGTTTTAATCTCCTCCTAAGAAATATAAATTTTCAAATCTAAGAAGGGCACTTTAGTATTATTATAAGAGTTTTTAAACAAATTCCTTTACTGTTACTAATTAGATGTGTCAAAAATACCTCAAAAGTCTACAGACCACGATCCCAAATAAAAAATAAATCATCAATGTACCCGAGATAGAGGACCAAGCCTGCCACCCAGCCTCCCCCACATAAATGGGCCATAAAGAGGTTGGCATAACTGGGCACGAACTTCGTCCCCATTACAGTACAAGAAAACTGGAGAAAATAAATTATGATTAAACCAAAAATAATTATTACGAAGGATAAAAGATATACCCTTCAAAATAAAATGAATTTGAAGCGGATCCGTATCTAAATAAAAGCACTCAACAGCTTTCAAACCTAAATCATAAATAATAACACTCAGTTGAAAGATGGTTATTTGCTAGTAACTATTGATGTTGAGAGTCTCTACACTATGATTTAGGTTTGAAGTTCTTTAAGGCCTGGCTTGTAGTGTAGGACTACAGCCTTTTAAAGAAACATTGTAGTCAACAGAACTACAGTTTACAGTAGTTGTTTTGGGGCATTTAGACTGTCCCTGCATTCTGAGCAGTGTAAATGCTATTGTATAATGCCACATTTCTTGGTTCAGTCCTGCAAAGATTGCAAGAACAGCACTGTACGCTCCCCACAGAGATGCTTGACTTAGTGCATCTGTATTGGGAGATGATGAATGTCGCAGTGTGGTGAGTTCCTGTGCATGCACACTAGCCTCCAAATGCTTCCCTATGGTTGATCATCAGGATTGGTGATCTCAGCTGGGAAGGTGGGGCAGACTCTGCGAGTCAGTAACGGTGGGTAAAACTACTTGTTGCAGTATCTGTTTTTACCTGCTTACCCACAGACTCTTATCACTACAATCAAATATGCATATATAAAAGAGAGAGAGAGGAAGCTCTGCACTCGACGTCTGTTATATATTGTTTCTTGTCTCGGTGGTGGACCTATGGACAATGAACAGAAACCCCCCGCTCTATGAGATATCTCTGTTTCACTATGGCCATAAAAAAGGCTTGTTTTCAGGATCAGAATCGAGCTCTGCTGGACTAGATGTCTAAGAAAAAGCAGTTATAAATGTAAGGGTAAGGGGTCATTTATAACTCATACCCTAAGTAGAGTTCAGCTGAGTATTATGGTACAGACACCTCTGAGTGGAGAGTGCAGACACTAATTCGAGAGACCTTTTGACACAATCAGCTCCTCTCATGGTGAGATCTGTAACAGAGTAGACTATCTTTGGTTGGTTTTGTACGATGCGCTGCTAGTAATTGACAAAGCTTAGGAAATTGTGTAATAGCTTAAGGGCTATAGACTGAGGCCACAAAATTGACTTTCAATATAGAGAAATCTAGTGACACAACCTATTGAGGACACTTGCATATAACCTATATTCTCCTTGACGTGCCTCCCATGTATCAATAAGGTCCGAGAAGGGGATGTGTGGCTGCACATAAAAAGAATGCTGTAGTTAACCTAAAAAACCTTATTTCGGAACTCCATGTTTCTCTTCAACTGATAAACTCAAGAATCCTGACTGCATGATGTTCCTCTGCTAGTAGGAAATAGTTGAAAGGTGCAAATTAAAGGACAAGGCTAGCAAGCTAATAGTATTTCTACTTGTGAGTCTGTCTTAATATAAAATTGATTTGGTCTACATACTCAATGAGATCATCTAGGTCTTGTGGTTGGTATCTTTCTAGAGAAGATGGTTAAAGAGTCATTGCTTCAGTCTACCTTGGCTGCAGGTGCTTAGAAGTCAACGGTGTAACCATTCAATAATATTTTATAATGGAAAAAAGGTCAACAGTACGTGGCACAACAGAAGGTGAATTAAATATATGACATAGTGTAGTTATGACTTTCCTGATAATTAGCCACTGAGGAGACTTAAGGACATACGGGTTAACTTGGCATCTGCAGATTGTCACAGTTACCAGACTGTCAGGCTCTTGAATATCCAGGCTGGCTAGCATATAAAGCAAAGTAATGAGTGACTTGAGACCATATTGGCAAGTCAATTGGCCACAACTGCAGCATACTACCTGTAGAATCTTACAAACAACCGTTGTGAAACCTGCTAATTGTGGTTCACAGCAACAGTAGCAAAATTATGTCGGACCCCCAAAAAGGGGAATGCTAAGCAAATATCATTATCCATATATTGTACCATTTTGCAAATCCTTTATTATAGGTAAAAATAAATATATCACAGGAAATGGGGTAGATGGAGAAACTAAACAGCCTAACGGGTTTTGTGCTTCAGCACTATTTAAAATGCAAATCTGATTTAGTGCATATGCATAAATTATAGGTGCTCGGGGGTGGAGCATGGATGCCAAGCTGACAAGACGTGCATCGCCCGAGCTCCACAAACTGGGTCAGGTACTCGACGATAAACCAGAGCCGCTTGCTCACCCGGACCGGTGCCGACGATCTCCTAGTCAAGGGGACAACGGTGCACCCGGGATACTAAAATTCAGTGCTTACTCTACCGGAACGTTGACATCGAGGCTTGCGGCCTACACAAATGTGGGCTGTGGAGAGACAACCGCTCTCCAAGTCCTTCACCCAGCGGTGTGAAACTTGCACCAAGCTGTTCCCCCCCCCCCTCTTTGGACCAGTGGGGGTCATCCCGGGTTACCCCTGCCATACTCCTTATAATTCAGCTGGCTATACACTGCTGCCTTGCTACATACTCAAGCTGAAGCAATCACACCTAAAATGGCAGCTGCGCTTGATTTCACACAGACTAGCAAAACACACCCGGCGTGTACCATGCCTTTGAGCGACTACTATAACATGGATCTGCTCTTTGCAAGATTCTGGGTAAAACTGGAGGCTCGTGGAGCAGAGACATCGTACTAATCACAGGAGGAAGGACACAGCACCCACCAGCAGGAGGTGAGCGGGTCACCTACGGGCGCACCCCCCCCATCAAGCATCTGGAATTACTTGATCAGGCCCACCTGGGCGTAAGACCACCAGGGATATAATACGCCTGAATTTGCCACGGAGGCTGAAGGACCACCACCGCTTGCGGCGACGTACCACCAGGAGCTTCTGCCGTCCCTTGAAAAGGAGAGACTTGGCCTTGTGTCGGAGAATCCGAGACTGTGGATTTGTGATGCCGGTCTTCCATAAAGTCCGGGGCTGGAGGACTCCCACGCTCGACTCCTACCTTAAAAAGCCCCCTGACAGCCTCCATGCATCCCCAAACCAGGGAATAGGCTGACGATGGACTCTCTGGACAGGGCCACCTTTATCCCGACATTGAAATATCTGCTATCACAACTCAATATGTTTATAATGTTTTATTCTTTTTATGTTTTTCGTTATAACTCTTCACCAATAACTCTACCTATGCTTTGGCGGGAAATATTGTGCTCCAATGGGCAATGTAGATATGATTTTTAGGAGTGTGGCCTAGGGGATTTTTCTAAATTATTGCCTTTGCGCAGTTTAGCATGTTTAACAAATTACTCATCTTAGGGCATACTTAGGGCATCACTAAGTTGAGCTTACTGCGATAACATACCTATAACCTGCAAAAGGTGGACTCGATGTCCCTTTAATTGTAGTTGACCCCTACCTTACTATTTACTACGTATCTATGACGTTAATTACGCACCAAGCTGTCTACCTAAACCTGACATCATTGTTCTACCGTAAGCCATTCCCTACATGCATAGCAAGTTATATGCCCTAAGACGCGCAGTGTCACTCCTTTGACAATATTCTGATAAACAGCTCATGTAAACTCGGTTATTAACTGTTGAAACGTCTTCTTATGCACGTGAAACTTCTTATCCACAAACATAATTGTGCTGTATTATCAACTGCCCTTTGCTGTTTACCTTTGTATGCCTATCCTCTTGCCACTGCTGTCGGGACAGCGCAGGTCTGTTTGTTCCTCTACTGCACAACAAAAATAACAATTTGCAAAAAAAACAAACAGGAAAACTAAAATCCCAAATCTGTCTCTGAATTGAGAATTTTGATTGGCAATTTGGATACAATAATATAAAATAAAATATAGGTTCACACACAAGACTGGCAACATTTAAAGAGACAGCACTTTGAATGGGATTGTATATTCCTTTCTATAATATTTAGGAGTAACACCAGGTGTTATGTAATAACAGTGGAAAAAAAAGATATTTGCAATAATAAAGGTTGTATATGTATTGCACAGGGTAAATGGACAGATGCGAATTAGGCTACTTTTTAGATGTACATACATTGTTAATCTTTGTGGGTTCTTCACTGTTTCATGAAAATAAATATCCCAATATTAAAAATAGCCATAACAGATACATTTATGTGACAGCCCTATTACCAAGAATATTGCAAATGGACAGATTATTACAAAGTAAATGTAAAACAAACTAAATAAAATAATATGTACCAATTAGAATTACTTCTTACAATATGGCCCAAAAATATGTTTGATACATTTTATAAAACTGTGCGTGTCATAATTCCTTTCTTAGCTGTATAGGAAGACAGTTTGGCATCCACTTAAAAACAATGTCATTTACACCAACAGGGAAGATGCCCAATATCCAGATCTAATCCTGAGCATTAACCCATGGTTAATGAAAGAAATATATATATTATTTTAAAAAAAAAATGTGTTCATTTATTTTTATCAAAGAGAATAAAACCACTACTTCTCTGTCTTATTATACGTAGGTTGAAATTAATGAGCATTACATTTCATCAATACACTTCCCTAGCAGAAATGCCATAACCTTCACATGTCAGTGAAGTCTAAGCATAGAGGTTGATGCCATGGATTGAGTGATGGGGGAGCAGTAGAACCCTCCTATAGTTGGTTCTCCTGCTCTACTATAGAGTTGTTCTTTTAGCAACCCTATCTTGCACTTGCTGTAGAAATTGAGGTTCTATATCATATTCATATTTTAAGACATATAGGCAATGAAACCTGGGTTTGTTTATGTACACATAACTGTATAAAAGTGTTTATTGACAGCTCCATGTAAACCAAAGAACTCAACCAAAGAATCTCTTTTTCCCTTACAGTGCAGAGAAGTATTGGGATGTATGGATCACTACACGTTAACGAATACCTTTAATAATCAGTTGCTCTATTCATGTGTTAAAGAAATTAGACAGACCTCAATGTAGCCGCTATTATCAGAATTTCGCCATGTCTGATCTGTTCAAATGGGTAGGAAATAGTCGGCAAGCTGAGTCTCTACAAAATCTTACTTTAACGGTGTACATCAAAACGTAGCCTACATTTAACATAAGGAAATCCTAGATCTACTTAAGAGTGATACTTTATTGCGCCATGATTCAAGCGAATTTGCTGAAGATCATTAATGGTATAAGAAAGCATCACTAATGAGCAATTGCACCCGACTTTCTTTATAATATATATTGCTAAAGGAACCTGGTCGGTACCTGGTACAAGGCGCCTAAATGCAGCCTATCGCGTTTTAAGTAAGGATGATCGGTGGACAAATAAATCCTACATAAAAATAACCGAAATTATTTAATATAAGTATATTAAATGTTGCACAGAAAAATGGGTCTGAGTTTAAATAAAAATATAGGGCGAGGATAATCGAGTTGGATTGCCATAGTGCAGCATAGAAAAGTTCAGGCTCAAAATTAGGAAAAAAAATAAGTAAAAATATGCCACATTATGGTTTAACTCTTACTCTCCTTAACATTCTGCCAGTCCGACTGGCAAGGATGTGATAAAGTGAAGCTTTTACTGTAAAAATAAGCATTTCCTGTAAGTGTCGGGGAAAGAAATTGCAGCACAGCCTTTGGTTCCAGGATTGTAATTATACAGCCTGTTCCCAGCCAAGGAAGGGCCATACTGTGCTGCGTCTCTTACAAGTAATCTGCGTTCATCACTGTTCTAATTAAAGTGGGCTTCAATTTAATCATTCCAGCCTTGGGAGTGAGACTAGGGCTGGGGAAAAACAGAGCAAGAGAATGAACGAGAGACAAGAGAGAAGACAAAAAAAAAAAGCAATGATGTAAGTGAAAACCTAAAATTAGAAAAAGGTTTTCAGAAAATCCAGGTCGCGTTAAAATTTTTTTTAAAAAGTTTTGTACAAACAGAGGAGACGGATGATAAAAAAAAAAAAATTAAAAAAAATAAAATAAAAAGAATTAAGACATATAAAAGCAGTTCTGCTCAAGTAGCTGTGTTGCGGAGGATGCCAGAACATTTTTTAAACACTTTCAAAATACATAAGAGAATAATCTTTAGGGAAGTGACATTTCCAGACGTGCTGTTTAGACTGGAATAAGAACGCCGTACCTGGCACCGTTATTGTATTGTGAAACTTAAATGCAGAGTATGGTATTCATTTCAGCGTAAATAGCACAAAGCAATCGCAGGAGGACGGCAGTAGGGGGCGCTGCTGGATCACATTTATAGCAAATAACACACATATATAAAGAAGAAAAAGAATTTACAAAGTGGGGTGGGAAGACTCTATACATAAATGAAAAAGGAAAAGAATACAATACAATGTCTGGTTATAATATATTAAATAGTCACAATCCTAGACTCATACAGACAGACAATTCTTTATGTAAGGAGTTAAGTCTACTGTTTCGACTGACCAATAGGAAGTCACACTGCCGAATCAATAGGAAGGAATCGTGTTCTAATATGGCTTTTTAATCTCCGCAAGATAAACAATGCAAGAACAATAAGAACCCAAATTGTGGACAAATATAGCAAGAACCAATGGACAAACAAATTGGGATTCAGGATTTTTGTTATTTTGTCCAATTACTAAATGCCTTGCTACAAATAACTAGGCTGTCATCCTTTGCCTCCCCCTTGTATAGGAACGTTGAAGTCATATGCACACGGTTTAATTCTGCATTTTATGACACCTTGAAAATAGAATAAGAAAAAAAAATAATAATGTCAAAATAAAAATATATGGCGTATTCACTGGACGTAAACCGAGTTTATGGATTATCATCCACCAGCAGTCCAACATTTTGATCTTCTGTGAGTCCTTACGCAAGACTGAAACAGTCAACATGTGGTGTAATGGTATAGTAACTCAAAAGGGGCATTTAAATGGCCACTGAGTGATAATAACGGCTGTATCTAACAGTTAATCCTGGGTTATAACCTGGAGAATTGTTTGTTTTTATTCAAACAATCTACACTCCATTTACTTTCTGGTTGTATATTTGTATGTATAAACATACTATACAGTGCAACTTTAAATAAAACAATTAATTTTATTGTAATCTTTTTACTGAAAAAAAAGAAACTGGCACCATTTTCAAATCCATTTTAGAATATGGCACACAGCTCACTTTTATCAAAATGATGACACGAGGAACCGTGGTTTAAGTCAGTATATGCAAAAAATGAGAGCAGCGAGGCTGATGTGACACCACTCACAGTTGTATTAATTAGATCTTCGTCATGCTGTATCAATCATGATTAGAACTGTAAAATACAGTATAACGTGGCCCCATGCCGCACCAAACAGCAATAACAAAACGGACAATGTTCGTCAAAAGTTCTGTTATCTTTGTTTTAAAACAATTCCTTTTATTTCCATAAACTTGAAAACACTTTTCTATGTACAAACAGACCATGACACAAAGACTCCCATAGATTTCTTGAGAGAGTAGGTGAGTACGAAAATTCACGGTGTTCTATGTGAGTCTTTACGCCATGGTTTGTTTGTACATTGAAGACTATTTTAAGCATAGAAATAAAAGGAACTGTGTTAAAACAGCACTTCTGATGAACATTGAACTCTTTATTATTGCTGTTAGTCAGGTTAGCCAACAGTTCACACAGCTAAGCAATATACAATAAACAATTTGACTAGATTCAGAGTAAACTCTATTTTGATGTGGTTCTTCTAATAGCACCCATGAATGATAAACTCCTTCCCATCATCAGTAAAACTGTCAATATATGTTTCAATGGGAACCAGGGGTACAAATGACATTCTCTGAGGAAATAAGAAGCCAACAAAGGTTCTTGTGATGTTCCAAACACCACAAAATAAATAGGATAATTTTATGGAGATGGTCCATCGGACTGAGTAGGTTGTCTAAGATAGATCTGTCAAAATCTGCTTTATGCCGAAGACAATATGGAAAGACTTGCACCAGCTCATACATTGTCCACCGGCTGTCAATTGCACCTACTTTGGGAATGGATAATTGCAAATATCCCTTCCTGCTTCCCAAAAAGTCAGAATTTTGCAAAGGTGTATTTGAGGCAACTAATCTATAAATATCAAGGACATGGAAACAGTATATACCGGCTTCCTGGTCAAACGTTGAAGCATTGGTAAGTGACACCATGCTCAGGGACAGAATGAGGCACATGGTGGCTGACTTTGTCCTCCTCTTCAATTGGTTCTCATTGAGTGGCATGTTTGTAAGAATATCCCTCATCGAATCATATCTCATAGCCCTACCTCCTATCCACCCTTCCATTCTCTTCTCTTAGAATGGCAATTATAGTTAGTCAATCACTACTTCTGCCCCTACACTTCACTCCCTCCCAATTCTCTTCTTTCCCAATGTCTTGTTTTTATATTATAATTTTGTTTCTAATTTATGGTTTAATTGTGGATGTTGTACATTTTGTAAGAGAAAATACAGGTGATTCGCTTAGAAATTTAACTCTTCCCAACTATCTGCATTCCCTACTTTGGAACGATTTTCTCTATTGCTCTGTTTACTGATAGGTGAACTGAAATATTCTGCACATTTCATGGCAATGTCCTGCAATTGCCATCAACTTGAGATGATTAGATAAAAATAACTGTAGGCATGGGCTTTCCATTCCTCCCAGCAGAACCTTTGTTACACCACAGTAGAATCACAGTATAGAAGCACAAAATACCAAGAACGTCCAAAAAACTTCAATCTAAGGCCACTTTGAGACATTCTTACTTGGCAACCATGGCTGGACTAGAAATCATTGGCCCCAGTCCGTGGTCTGAAAAGGAATGTTGCTCCAGTACCCTATAATAACTTGCACTCACCACTTCCTTAATTCTCTCCTACTCACTCTCCTTGACTTCCTTCTTCTGCTTTTCATTCCTTTTAGTTCTCACTGCCTCTCTCCATGTGGGTTTCCAGAATTTCTCACACCAAAAGTCTGACACAGTATATTACCTCCTTCCCACCGGGCACAGAAAGGGTGATCTGATATCTGAACATTTAATGTCTGAATGTTTCCATTTTTGTGTATGGTTCTGAATATATCACACGAGGATTTAAATAAAAGGAACAAGTTTCCCCAAATGATGATTTAAAATTTAAAATTAGACCATAGAAACCATAGGTGGTTTAGAATCTCCATAGTGGCAGAATATATTAAATGGCACTAGGCTACATAGACATAGTCACCCACTGTTCCAAAGTTTAACTTAAAGAATTGTATGAACCACGTTGTACCTTAACAAGCTTCAGAAGGTGATACAGATCCTCCACTTCATCCCCTTCCTGTGGGGTGTACGCTCTCCCGATATTCAGGCTGCTACCCTGGAGAGAAGCACGATAAAGAGGCAGACCCATAGCTTCTGCGTAGAGATCCAGTGCCTGATGTCCCACTGTCTGATACATGTAACTGTCTAACTCATCCCCTGCAGAGACAAATGTCACCATTATTTGAAATATTAAAAAGGCACTTTTAGCATCATAAAAAAGTAAGGTATTATATGAGCACACAGTTTAAACTCTTACTTAGTATTCCACAGACACAGAAAAGCCCATGCAAATGTAAATCATTAGCCCCACACCCTTCATTTTCCTACCCATTAACAGGGCTTGTATACCACTTATTCTTAACAGCAGTCCAATGTGAGAAATAATAAACATAAAACTGAAAATGAAAGTCCATCCAATATAAAAATTTACAGGGTTATCCACTAATGTGATCATTCATTTAAATGTGATTCCCCATTGAAAAATGTGCATTTCATAGATATAGAATTTTTTTAATTCCAGTTTCAATCCCGGAGGTTTCAGAGAATTGGCTCTGTCTATGGGGGATCTGTCTCGCGAGGATTCTCCATAGATCTCAATGTTGTATTTTCGCACATGGCTCTGTCTATGGGGGATCTGACTCGCAGGGATTCTCCATAGATCTCAATGTTGTATTTTCGCACTTCTGAAGAGGACCTGCCAGGAACAAGATGGCTGTGCCTAAGAGGGCCAGGTTCAGGCAATTAAATCTCATATTTACCTGCCCCTCTCTCCTGGCAACAATGTCACAGTCGGGGGTCTTTTCGATTTCGGCAAAGTTTCCAGGTTGTGACAGTGCCACTTTAAAGCTTAAGTAGTTGAACTCAAAGTACAGGTTGCTTACAGAATCTTCTTCCTTTTGCTATTTTGGTCTTAAAAGGTTACTCCAACCACCATGACCACTTCAGTGATTTGATGTTGTCATGGTACTTGGAGTCTGTATGAACATTGTTTAGCAATACAATGATGCAGACAGAGAGCTTAGACCCTTTTCTGCAGGAGGTGTGTCACAAACTTACGTGTACCTGGCGCCCATGCCGCTCCCCTCCTCGGGCAACGTGGGCAGAATGCACCGCGTGGCCGCATTACTGCAGTACTCATGCCACGCGGTCCGAACACTCCACGTGGCCGAACAGACTGTATAGGATTGAAAAGCTTCCTCTGCGGGTTCGTGGACCGAACTGAAGACCCTATAAATAAAAGTTATTGCCATGACGTCACGCCCTTACAGGGACAGCGTTATCTAGGCGACCCCATGCTGTTTGGGGTCGCAGAGATGACGTGGACCAATAGGAACTCTTTTGAACCTATTTAAGGCCTCATGTTCTAGCCCTTACTCATTGCTCTATTTTGGTTTCTGTCCCGATACACGTTAGTGTTAGCAGTAAGTCTCTCTTGTTATATTCCTGTTATTGACCTTGGCTTGTTTTTTACTTGTAATAATTGATATCCTGACTTGGCTTCATATTTGACTTGTTATTTCGGGTATCGTGACCCGGCTTTGTATTTGACTTGTGATTTCTGGTATCCTAACTCGGTTACGTATTTGGCTCGTGATTTCCTGGTATCGTGACCTGGCTTTGTATATACTCTGTGTATTTCTGTATTCCTGACCTCATTTCTCGCTATAGTAATACGTTAATCTAAGGCTCGGTAATACATCTTTTGGATCCACCTTTTGTGGGTTTCCACTCTTCTTGCGTGTTGGTGTACGACTCCTGTGACAAGCTGTAACAGGCTGGTGGTATCATTACAGCATCATTATATAACTTGGAACAAAAGTTCTGGCTGGCTAATGTCAATTCTGTGTATATTTTTATGGAAGATGTTGCATTCATTGGCCGAGATGCTCTTAGTAAAATGATTTGCTGGCTGGATAGGCATCCAACTTCTGCAGATGTGCTCAGGTAAGAGGGCAAACCGTTACCGTATTCCTGATATTATAACCACTACAGTGGGCTGTAGCGGTTATGACGCTTTGATCAATTCTTTGAATTTGAAATTCACTGTCAATTCATCTTGAATTCGCATTTTAGTGAATAACAACACTGCTAGTTCCAATATTTATATTTCATAACAAATCCACCATAGACTCTCAGCTTCATTACCTGCACTTTCGGAGGGTTTCAAATTAGCAAGAGCAACAATTTCATGACCTGCTGCAACACACTCCATCATATTGTAGCAACTGTCTTTTCCACCACTAGAAAAAAAAAAAAACATGGTAATTGGTGGTCAGCAATCGCATATAATATTTACATCTGAAACCATGTCAGTAGTGTGATTAAATGTAATATTCATGTAAGGTGCATATCACTCCATTGGTAAATTGTAATTCTGTTGTCAATAGCAACCTCCTAGAAATAACAATTCTACAAAATGTCATATTTTGGGGGTGATAGTCCAATGAATTGTCACGTTCAAGTAGTATTTTACTACACCGGCATATTTCAAGCAGTCACTATATATAGGGACAATTTCATATTTTTTTTATTTTAAAATGTAAACCAGGACACGTCACTTCTAGTACTTTTTCCAATAAATCACAGCATGCACATCCAGCCAAGACTGCATTCCTTGAAGTGTATAAGTTCAGGAATGCAAAGAAAATATCAAATTATGTCTAAGAGCTAAATTACAGGCTGAATTAGTTGGGTTTTTTTTTTTTTTGCAATTTGAATAGCTGCACCTGATCCCAAACATTGGAAGGGCATGGGTCCATGCTATTTTCATGGATATATTCTGGTTAGGTCAATATTACTAATACTACATCACCCTGCTGTCAATCACCTTATTAAAGCCACAACCCTCATGCTGTCACTGGGTATTTGAACCCCGTACGCTCCTGCTAGAAGCCAACCCGGAAGTAGCTGCACGTGTTTGTTAGCGCATGCGCAGAGCCGTGCAGTGCGAGGACCCCGCCACAGAGGCTGTCCAGGGAACTGCCTGCCAAAAACGGGGCTTCAGCGAGTGTAAGAGAGCCGGTTACCACGGCAACGCTATGATACTATGTGTGGTGCTGTACCAGAGGGAGCACTGCAGCACCAAATAGTCAGATCACCTGGGATAGGTTTTACCCCCTCCCTGGCCAAGGGAAGCAAGAGGGGCGGCGAATGAATTTTATATTATTTTATTATATATATATATGTGTATGGTTTTATAATGCCCCTAACACTCCCATGCCCTTACTACTGCTTCTACCCCCCAAAGCGCCTACCCCTAACCCCCTGCGCCCACTACTGTCACTATCCCACCCTGTGCACCCACTACTGTCACTATCCCACCCTGTGCACCCACTACTGTCACTATCCCACCCTGTGCACCCACTACTGTCACTATCCCATCACCTGCACCCATTACTGTCACTATCCCACCCTGTGCACCCACTACTGTCACTATCCCATCACCTGCACCCATTACTGTCACTATCCCACCCTGTGCACCCACTACTGTCACTATCCCATCACCTGTCCACTATCCCATCACCTGCACCCATTACTGTCACTATCCCACCCTGTGCACCCACTACTGTCACTATCCCATTACCTGCACCCACTACTGTCACTATCCCATCACCTGCACCCATTACTGTCACTATCCCACCCTGTGCACGCACTACTGTCACTATCCCACCCTGTGCACCCACTACTGTCACTATCCCATCACCTGCACCCATTACTGTCACTATCCCACCCTGTGCACCCACTACTGTCACTATCCCATCACCTGCACCCATTACTGTCACTATCCCACCCTGTGCACCCACTACTGTCACTATCCCACCCTGTGCACCCACTACTGTCACTATCCCATCACCTGCACCCACTACTGTCACTATCCCACCCCGTGCACCCACTACTGTCACTATCCCATCACCTGCACCCATTACTGTCACTATCCCACCCTGTGCACCCACTACTGTCACTATCCCACCCTGTGCACCCACTACTGTCACTATCCCATCACCTGCACCCATACTGTCACTATCCCACCCTGTGCACCCACTACTGTCACTATCCCATCACCTGCACCCATTACTGTCACTATCCCACCCTGTGCACCCACTACTGTCACTATCCCATCACCTGCGCCCACTACTGTCACTATCCCATCACCTGCACCCATTACTGTCACTATACCACCCTGTGCACCCACTACTGTCACTATCCCATCACCTGCTCCCACTACTTTCCCTATTTCACCCCGTGCACCCACTACTGTCACTATCCCATCCCATGCACCAACTACTGTCACTATCCCATCCCATGCACCCATTACATTATCTATTCCACCCTGTGCACCCACTACTGTCACTATCCCATCACCTGCACCCACTACTTTCCCTATTTCACCCCGTGCACCCACTACTGTCACTATGCCATAGCATGCACCCACTACTGTCACTAACCCATCAACTGCACCCACTACTTTCCCTATTCCACCCCATGCACCCACTACTGTCACTATACCATCCCATGCACCCACTACTGTCACTATCCCATCACCTGCACCCACTACTTTCCCTATTTCACCCCGTGCACCCACTAATGTCACTATCCCATCACCTGCACCCACTACTGTCACTATCCCATCAATGCACCAACTACTGTCACTATCCCATCCCATGCACCCACTACTTTGCCTATTCCACCCTGTGCACCCACTACGGTCACTATCCCATCCCATGCACCCACTACTGTTACTATCCCATCACCTGCACCCACTACTTTCCCTATTCTACCCTGTGCACCCACTACTGTCACTATCCCATCCCATGCACCCACTACTGTCACTATCCCATCACCTGCACCCATTACTGTCCCTATTCGACCCCATGCACCCACTACTGTCCTTATTCCAGCCCGTGCACCCACTGCCGTCACTATCCGATTACCTACACCTACTACATTCCATAATCCAGCCCGTGCACCCACTACTGTCACTATCCCTTTCCCTGTTGCACCCCGTGCATCCACTACTGCTCCTATTTGCCCTGTGCACTCACTACTGCCCCTTTTCCACCCTGTGTGCCCACTACTGTCCCTATCCCACCCTGTGCACCCACTACTGCTCCTATCTGCCATGTGCACTCACTACTGTCTCTATCCCACCCCATGTACCCACTATTACTCCTATCCCACCCTGTGCACCCACTACTGCTCCTATCTGCCATGTGCACTCACTACTGTCTCTATCCCACCCCATGCACCCACTACTACTCCTATCCCACCCTGTGCACCTACTACTGCTCCTATCTGCCATGTGCACCCATTACTGCCCCTATCCACCCCATGCACCCACTTCTGTGCCTATCCCACCCTATGCATCCACTACTACTCCAATCTGCCCCTTGCACCCACTACTGCCCCTATCCCACCCCATGCACCTACCACTGTTCCTATCCCGCCCCCCTGGCACCAACAACTGTTGCTAGCCTGCCCGATACACCCACATTTGGCCCTACCCCGCCCCATGCACCAGCAACTGTTGTTAGCCCGCCCCATACACCCACATCTGTCCCTATCCCACTCCGTGTACCAACAACTGCCCCTATATCTCCCCTTGCATGCACTACTACCCCATGCCTGTCCCCTGCACCCACCACTGTCCCTATCCCACCCCGTTCACCCACCATGCTGCGCATGCAAACTAGCCTCCCAATACTTGCGGGGAAGCATTGGATTGGCTGGCATCATCAATATTGAGATGACTGCTTTAGTGGAATAAAGGTAAGTAAATCTTATTTTTTTTTTTTTTTTATTAGTTATGGGGAGATAGAGGTGCTTATAATACAGTAGGTAGGCTAACTCTCTGCACTTTGGCTGTCCTGTACAGACTCTAAACTCACATGACCCACCCCCACCCCCTGTAATTTGAATCTGTATCTCCTTTTGTCAATTCTAACTTTGTGAATATTTTTCAGTTGTCTACTGAAGTGATGATAACTGAAAATCCTTAAATAAAAATATTTTTGTGTGTGCTTGGTATATAAAAAATAAAAGTAAGACAAAAACTAAAGAATAATATAGTGTAGAATTATTATTATTATTTTGTTTACCTAATTGTGCTCAATTGAAGACATTAGTACAGCACTCACATGAAAAGGAGCCATTTAGTAGACTTGGCTCCAAGTATTCAAGCAGGGTGTTTAAAATGTGACACTCTAGTACAGGGGTAGGCAACCTTTTAGCAGCACTGTGCCGATATAGGATTGTGATGTCATGTAGCGTGCCGATACTATTTTTTTAAATTGAGGTGTGTATGCTGCCGTATTCTGCTTGTGTTATTTTTACTGTAATTGCTTTGTATCGTTGTATTTGTGCGTATATGAACTATTAGATTGTATATGTTCATTAGTAGTTTATGGTATCGTGTATGATACATATGAATGTGGGCTGTGTATGAGGGCTGCTTGTGGAATTGTGTGTGGATGGAAATGTCACCTTGTGTGTTTGGTAGTGTGTGTATGTGTGGGGCTGTTTGGGGTATTGCAAGTAAGAGGCTGCGTGTGTGGTTGTGTGCATGTATGTGGATTGTTAGTGGTGTTGTGTTTGTGGGGACTGTGTGTATGTTTGTGTGTGGGCTATTATTTGTATGAGGGGAAGGTTATTATGCATTTCTGTGTATATCTAGCAGTATGGTTGGCTTCCCTGGGTTCCAGTGGGGACCAGGCTGGCCAGGTACAGTTCAAGGACAGGAGCTGCAACAGCAGCTGCGGGTTGTTCTACTACAGTGTGGATTGCTATTCACAAGTGCCGGGAGGAAGTGATCTGAGATCACTTCCTCTATGTGCTGCAATGGATAAATTGAGTATTGTCCTTCACCACATCTTCGTATTAGCAGATATCTGAAGTTTTACTTGGTCTCCTGGTAGCCAGAGCCTGTTTGGCTCTAGCAGCCTTGAGTGCCGTGCAAAGACACCTTGAGTGCCGTGCATGGCACTAGTGCCGTAGGTTGCCTACCCCTGCTCTAGTAGATCATGGGTCCCCAAAAGGTAGATCCCCACATGTTTTCAAACTACATCTAACATGATGCTTTGCATTCCTTTATATACTATTAACTATAAGAGTTATAGCATTTTTCCAGGTCAGCTATTATTGTCTCCCTTTTTACATTCATATTTAATTTGGGGAAATTCTAAATTCAGCAAATAGCCCTGTTAATGTCCAGGGCTCTGGGCATTTGCCCCAATCTTTGGAACTGAATTAATTTTGTATCAGGGCAAGCAGATTGTGCTACTGATTTAGCCCCGTTGGACAAGTAGGTTTTAAAATATATTCACCACTGTGTATGCAAACTTTTTCCACGATACAAAACAATACCATCAAGCCTCTATTAGCATTTAGTGACAAGGTGGGGGATTATTAAATAGTGTGTTTCAAAAGCAATTAGGTGTAAACTTCCCTTGAAGGGACATTAGATCCAATAATACATTGGGCATATAACCTTTTTTAATTTTGTCCTGCCACTGGGTATTTTCTGATACATTTAGATATAATCAATTGAATGCAGCTGCTAGACACAACCATCTGTTTTACCAATCTGATTAAAACTAAAGTCATTATTAGATGTTAAATTTAGGGATACAGTTGCTGCTAAATAGGTAGAGAAAAGAGATCCATAGATAGCCATGAAATGTGTCGACACATTAGCTTATATTAATGCCAATTTGTTTTACTGGGCTTACAAAAATAATTAATATAATTGTGTCAGGAAAGACGGTATCTTTTTACTTTGCATGGAAATGCACATAACTACATTGCATAAACATAAGTTAAAGTATAACAAACGGACAGGGTTTCACAAGAACAATAAAAGATGGATAAAAGTTAAAAAATTAACAAGGATGAATTTTGGGTTTTAATTTTGCCTTTCGTATTTTAATTTTTTCCTACTTTACTTTAGTGTATAAATCTGTCTAATGTGAGTTGTCAACAATTTAAAGTGAATTTCAAATGTTAAAGGATCGCTCCATGGACCAAGACCCTTTAAGAGATTTGAAGTGGTGATGGTGCCTGGGTGTTTGTCAGCTGATGCTCTCCGCCAGTGAAAGGCAATTAGATCGACTTCTACACGAGTCGGAAGAACATCACCTATTAGGAGAGAAGACTCTGAGCCCAGTGGGGACACTGGTAAGAGGGCACACTGTTACTGAACGGTTTGCCCTATTATTGAAGAACTAGGCCAGGATACTCCTGGCATCATAGTGGTAGTCCATGCATCCACTACCCTCTTAGTAAAGTTATACTTCCTAGACATGTGCAATTCGTTTCGGTCCGAATATAAATTCGGACAAATTTCGGGCAATTCGGACATTCGTGTACTTCCTTTTTTTTTTATTCTTTATTTTTCCATCTTGGCGGACAAAATGATACAACATTAGTTTACAGGCTTACGCAGAAGCCATAGAGTAAGTCATTTACATGTACTTCATTTCAAAAAAGACATCCTGTAACAAAGCGTGCTATACATTATTGCTATCATCGTCTCTGTCCGTCAAGGAATTTTTATGAATTTTTTATAAACAAAAGTAAACTCAAGTAAGTAAATAGGTTTAACTAGGTTTAACCTTCCAATTCACTCATTGTCAGCAAGTACTCCAGTGATCTTAGTAGCTGCATCTAGAATAACCAAGTATCAACGATTGGGCTTGCGCAGAAGCCAAAGTGTGGGTAACATCTTAACAGTCACATGAAGTTCAATCTTTACAGAATGTGTTCATATTCAAAGGATCCATGGGGGTTTATCCTCTTTAAAGGATTTTTAATATTGTAATTCCCCAGTTTAATTTATCGGTTTGTCTGGAATACTTAGGTGTGGGAGGGAAGCGTCCCTGACCCAGCGGCAATTTGAGGTCTACCGATGAGCTATATACTGTTTCATATGTCGTTATTATTATAACTATATTGTCAGTATCTAATCCGTGGTTTGATAGGTCCTTAGATATACGTAGAGGATTAATAGTCTGAGGTTTATCTGGGGTATCTAGGGTTCCCTTTACGTTCGTTACGTTGACCTTGTCTGAGGAGGTTGGTGTGCAAAGTAAGTAGCGGATATGAAATGGATTTTTCCCGTATAGGCGCGGGAAGAGAAAAAGCAAGAGTTAAGAAAAAAGGGGAGACTGAGAAAGTGGGGTAAGGTAAGGGAGCATTGTGTGGTGACTGCGGTGACCTAGAGGTGGCGAGGGAGGTACGTCCAGAAGGTGGCGGGGGGCAGCAGGTTCAGCCCGATCTCCCTAGGCCAAGTATGTCGGTTGGATCTCCGTGTAGGAGGACTCCGCAACTGTTTTAGCTTTATTGTAAAGACCCCTTTACATCTTTCGTTTATTCCTATCTGACCTCTCTAGAGCCTACTACGCTGTTATCCCAGGGTTCCCAGAGTTTTAGAAAAGTTTCTGTTGATCCCTTCACTCTCGCTGTTAAGTCGTCCATAATCCTACATTCGCGGATCCTGGATATCACTATCGGAAACTCGGGTGAGTCTGGTGAAAGCCATCTCATCGCAATTGTTTTCCTTGCGCTTAGGGTTATTTTATGGACTAGTTTCTGTTCTCTCTTGGTCCATCCGTCCACCGACCTGTTTAGGAGGTATACCCATGGATCTCTGGTCAGGGGTTTATTAAATGTTTGTTTTAGTAGGTTTTCTGTCTCTTTCCAGAATCCAGAAAGTTTGGGGCATTCCCACCACATGTGAAGGTATGTACCTCGGGCTCCGCATCCCCTCCAGCAATCATCGGTGTCCATTTTGTGCATTTTATAAAGTTTTACTGGGGTTGTGTACCACCTAAACATGGTCTTCCATGTCTGTTCTTGTAGCGTAACACATATGGAGGCGTTTTTATTTGCTTCCCAAATTTCTTGCCATTCTACGCCTTCTAGTTCTTCTCCTAGTTCTATCTCCCATTGGTCGGTGTAAGATAGCCTCCCCCATTCTTTGGTTTCTGCGCTAAGGTGGGCGTACATTAGGGTTATCATACCCTTGGGGGTCCTTTCATGAAGGCATAGTTTCTCGTAGAACGTCATATGTCTTTGAGCTGCAGCCTTTATGTGTGATTTCCTAGCGAAGTCTCGAATCTGTATATATCTGAAGAAATCCGCGGGAGTTAGGTGGTTGTCTTGTTGAAGGTCCGTAAATTGGATTAAGTTCCCATTATGATATAATTGATGGATCCGTTGTAGACCCGTTCTCTCCAAGTTTCGGAAATCTTTAGGAGCCATACCG